AGTGGAGGAGATGCTTAAGAAGCTTCTTTATGTCACCATTGGAATTCATTGTCACCAGTGTAATTTAAGCTGCTCACAGTTGCTGTCAAACTTACAGGGTGAATGTTTGATATTCAAAAGCAGAATTTGGGTGACTCACTTTAAGACAGAAAGATTATGTAGTCAAATATTTTATGGTGATGGTTACTTCAGTTTCCAGCTATCTAAACCGTGTATTAAAGCTGCAGTAGGTAACTTTTATAAAAATAACTTTTTGTCATATTTGCTGAAATTTTCAATTCAGTTTTATTTGTATAGCGCCAATTCATAACAGAAGTTATCTCAGGAAACTTTTCAAATAGAGCAGGTCTAGACCGAACTCTAATATTATGAACAGAGACCCAACAGTACCACCATGAGCAAGCACTTGGCGACGGGGGCAAGGAAAAACTGCTTGTTGAAAGGCAGAAACCTAGGACAGATCCTTCGGCTATAGGTGGGTGGTCGTCTGCCTCGACCAGTTGGGATGGGACGGACGGACGGACGGACAGACAGACAGAAACAACAGTAGCAACAACTACACGAATAGTAGTGACTGCTGATAATGAACATGGCAACAGCAACGATGGGGGACAATGAGTAGTGACAACAGCAACAACAGTAACCGTAGCAGCAATAATACTTATTATTATTATTATTATTATTATTATAACACTAATATCAGTGATTAGCAATGGCAGTCAAGCAGGACCATGGCAGGAGGCTCCACCAGGATCCATGAGAACCTGCGAGACGAGAAAGCACAAGAACCCCGGGAAAGAAGTGAAGTTAGTAACATGCATTAATGGGACATGAATGAGTGCAGAAAGAGAGAGGAAGAGAGGAGCTCCGTGCACCATGGGAAGTCCCCCGATAGTCTAGGCCTATAGCAGCATAACTAAGGGATGGTTCAGGACTCATCTGAGCCAACCCTAACTATAAGCTTTATCAAAGAGGAACGTCTTAAGCCTACTCTTGAATGTGGAGAGGGTGTCTGCCTCCCGAACCACAACTGGAAGCTGGTTCCACAGGAGAGGAGCTTGGTAACTGAAGGCTCTGGCTCCTGTTCTACTTTTAGAGACTATAGGAACCACAAGTAGCCCTGCATTCAGAGAACGCAGTGTTCTAGTGGGGTAATAGAGTACTATGAGCTCTTTAAGATATGAAGGGGCCTGACCATGAAGAGCTTTATAGGTGAGGAGGAGGATTTTAAATTCTATTCTACATTTTACAGGGAGCCAGTGCAGAGAAGCTAGTACAGGAGAAATGTGATCTCTTTTCCTAGTTCCTGTCAGTACTCGTGCTGCAGCGTTCTGAATTAACTGGAGCGTTTTAATGGACTTATGGGGCAGCCTGATAATAAAGAGTTGCAGTAATCCAGCCTAGACGTAACACATGCACGGAATAGTTTTTCTGCATCTGTCTGTGATAGGATGTGTCTAATTTGTCTAATATTACGTAAATGAAAGAAGGCAGTCCTAGAGGTCTGCTTTATGTGGGAATTAAATGACAAATCCTGATCAAAGATAACTCCAAGATTCCTGACAGTGGTGCTAGAGGCCAAGTTAATGCCATCTAGAGTAAACTGAGTCTCTGAGGTTTAACATCAGAAAATTGCAGCTCATCCAGGATTTTATGTCCTTAAGACATGTTTGTAATTTAGATATTTGATTAATTTCATCGGGCTTGATCGATAGATATAACTGCGTATCATCTGCATAACAGTGAAAGTTAATGGAGTGATTCCTAATAATGTTGCCTAAAGGGAGCATATATAAAGTAAATAGTATTGGTCCAAGTACAGAACCTTGTGGAACTCCATGACTAACTGTAGTATTTATTGAAGAGTCATCGTTAACATGTACAAACTGCGAGCGATCTGATAAATATGACTTAAACCAGCTTAGTGCGGTTCCTTTAATGCCAATTTGATGCTCAAGTCTCTGTAAAAGAATATTATGGTCAATGGTGTCAAATGCAGCACTAAGATCTAATAATACAAGTACAGAGACAAGTCCATTGTTGGAAGCAATTGAAAGGTCATATTAACTTTAACCAGAGCTGTCTCTGTGCTATGATGAACTCTAAATCCTGACTGAAAATCCTCAAATAAACTATTGTTATGTAGAAAGTCACACAACTCTTTGGCGACTACTTTCTCCAGAATCTTAGAGAGGAAGGGGAGGTTAGAAATCGGTCTATAATTGGCTAAAACCCCTGGGTCAAGAGTGGGCTTTTTAAGAAGGGGTTTAATTACAGCTACTTTAAAGGACTGTGGTACATATCCTGATAATAAAGAAGGATTAATCATATCCAGTAAAGAAGTGCCAATTAAGGGTATGAATTCTTTAAGCAGCCTAGTTGGGATGGGGTCTAAAAGACAGGTTGATGGCTTCGATGTAGAAATTATTGAAGTTAACTGATGAAGATCGATAGCAGAAAAACAGTCTAAATATATATCTAAGTTTACATTAGTTAAAGTTCCTGAACTTGGAGAGCCACTGATACCTCTTCAGGGCATTTGGTGATTAATTTTCTCTCTAATAGTAATAATTTTATTATAAAAGAAGCTCATGAAGTCATTGCTACTTAAGGTTATGGGGATATGTGGCTCAATAGAGCTGTGACTCTCTGTCAGCCTGGCTACAGTGCTAAAGAGGAACCTAGGGTTATTCTTATTTTTTTCTATTAGTGCTGAATAAATGAATTCACTATATCCTGACAGTAGTACACGAGACAGATAATACAAAATCAGGGTTCTCTGGCTCCTCCTAGTGCTCCTAATGACATTTGCTAGAATCCACCAGGTCTGGACAAAAGCAACCAATCAGAGCTGAGAAAGATGCAGGGAGTTTTGGGTTGGAGGCTTCATTATTTGTGTCATGTACTACTATCAAGATGTAGTGAAAGTTTCAGCAAATATGGCACACAATAAATATATACTTTTTAAATGACCTACTGCAGCTTTAATGAATAATTAATGTTGTAGCGTATTATAACCAGGATCTTTTTCCCATAGTTTTGGCCATCTTCTCTATGAGGTATGATAATATTGTACTCGTCAAAGATTGCTAAGATCTGGGAATGTGGTGACATTGCTACAACGAATTCCAACCAGGCCAATAACACAAGCATTCAGATGATCAGATGAGTTGGAAACAAGCCATAGGTTAGAACCAGGCATGCTGCATGGTTTAGCTGTCTTTGGCTGCACATAAAACTTTGGTGATGACTAAGTGGTCGGTGGTGGCCCTGAGCAAATAACCTCCATTCCCACGTTCTCCAGCAACTTGCCAATGTATTTTAAAAGACAAAGAAGAAAACAGCATGCTGCACAATGGTGACATGCAGCCATTTTAAAAGATTTAACAAAGAGTGCAGCTTCAGGAGTGTCCCTCCTGTGTGCTATAGTGCAGTGTACACACAGTACAGTGTCAAAGAGCAGTGACAACTCCAGGAACGATGAGAGTAGATAAAGGAGAATTTTTGCACACATGCAGAGGAGATGGCGGACAGTGTGGCTCGGAGACCATGCTCAGCCCTATATTAGGAGGTCAAATTAAAAAAAAAAATTGTAACGATCCCTCATTATACAGGAACACTATGAACATGTTTACTGTAGGTAGTAGATTGAAGCTGGAGCAGGAGTTCAGTGTGTAACCTGGTATGAATGTTTGTAACAGTAATTTAGTTATTCAGTAAGGCGCACTACCACTCAAACATTTGGGGTAAATAGATGTTATTTTGTATGAAGGGTTTATTTTGTACATGGACAATAAAACGCTGTACAATGGTTCAACCAGAACGATAACTAAAAGGGCAGAAAGAGACAAAGATCCTCTGGGCAACAGTTCAATGATAATGTAAGAAATCAGCAGTCATTGATCAAAGAAACTAGAAGCTTAGCATCAGAATCTATCCAGATTTAAACAGGAACTGGTTCCTGTTTCAGTGTCAAGTGCACAATAATGTCTCTGACAAGCTGGAATTAACAGACATGTTGCATTTAGCAAATCTATTCTTAAAACTTCAAAATAGAGAGAAGTTTGGTGTAGGGTGAGCAGTATTGAATATCAGAAAAAACAGGTTCCCAAAATCCAGTTGTTGAGTCCAGTTACCCTGTTGTGGGTCAATTATCATCTTGGATCACTGATGATTTTCTAGATTGGAAACAAATTCAAAATTGTATGCATTAAAGGGAAAAATAGTATGACGGTATTCTCCCTTGGCATGCAGCCCTGTGGGGAAATAAACCTCACTTTTTTACTGCTATGAGTGATAACTAAAACTACATGAATAATCCCAAATCAAAATGTTCTCGATAGATAGATGGGGAACAAAGGATTACACTACCTTAGCATAGTAGCAGCTCTGGCTGCAGATCTGAATATCCATGTTGGAGATTTTTTAGCAATCATCTCTCAGCAATGCTGGCAGAGTCTGATTCTCTGACTTGTGACGTAACGTTGTAACCCCTCTGGAATGTGCCACACACCGCCCTGCTTTGCTGTAAAGCAAGATGTGATGTGCCGGTTGGGATACTTTGGGATCCACTGCTTCACACCACAACTCATGACTCATCATTCAGCCTTCACCAACAGAGAGGATATGGTTGGGTTTCTTGTCTTGCTCTTCCTCTCTTTTCTTTTTCCCGGGCTGTAACTGGAGTAAGAACCTCTCTCCCAGTTACAGCCCCAAATGAACTGAGATTGTGTCTCACTTCATATCTTTTTCTCCACTGTTCCTGTTTTGGTTTTGGCTCACCTTACTCTGCTCATATTGATACATGTATATTTTGTTTTTCCCATCATTCCCTTCTTTGCTTTTTAATGTACTGAAATCCATTTCAATATTTTCTCCTTCCCTCTGGTCGAACCTGTCCCCCTGCTCAAAACTTTCTCTTCTCTTCTATCTGTTCCACATTTCCCCTTTGTTTTCCCCTCCTGTGTCTTCCCCTGCTCCTTCCATCCTCCTTCACAAAGGTGGTGAGTCAGCGGTTCCCACAGAACAGCATCGGCGCGGTGGGCAGCGCCATGTTTCTGCGCTTCGTCAACCCAGCTATTGTGTCTCCCTATGAGGCTGGTATCTTGGACAAGAAGCCCCTGCCAAGGATAGAACGCGGTCTCAAACTCATGTCCAAGGTAAGGCTGGTGGATATGATGTTTTTTTTATGTAGCTGACGAACAACGGCAATCTTAAGGATTTTCAAACTCAATATTAAGTCTTACTGTCCTATAAAGTACAGTAAGTCTAATTCACTCCATAGCAGTGGCTAGAGGTGGGCACTCGAGTCTCATAACTTGGAATGAGTCATAAATTTGATGATTCTTGACTCGAAAACTCAAAAAAGACTTGCAACACCAATGACTCAACTTGACTCACTTCAAGGTATCTGTGCCGATCAAGTCGTTTTTTTACTGATCGGTATCTGCTGTATTGAGCCTTATTGACCCAGTCCGATCTTTTGTTTTATGTCAGTGGTCATACAGCTGTTTTTCCACCTCTGTTGAGCTCTGTGTGAGAGAGAGCTGGGCCTGCCTGTGGCCATAGGAGAGAACGGTAGAGGTCCGACACAGCCACACTCAACACGCCAGTGCAAGAGCCACAGAAGCCCTGCAAACAAAAGCCAATAAGAGTAATTAATCTGTAGCACACATTATGGTTGAAAGCTAACGTTAGCTTGTCAGCAGCTGCAGGTGTTTCCTCTCGCTCCCCGACTAACGTTACTGACGTTACCGCCCCGCCCCCGGTGGCTAAGCTGACCCGCTGCTGCTAGGCACTCCCCTCGCCCGGCTAGACGAGACTAGACTAGGTCGGCTTAGCCACCGCGGGCGGGTCGGTAACGTTAGTAACGTTAGACGGGGAGCGAGGGCAAACACCTGCAGCTGCTGACAAACGAACGTTATCTTTCAACCATAATGTGTGCTACCAAACAAAGACACATACTCACCACTAGAGCCGCTGACGGCCGCCGACTCCAATGTGCTTCTCCATGCTCCCCTTGGCTGCACTGTCAGAAACTTCTGAGAGTTAACGTAAATATGACGTAACATCCCGCCTCCCACCGTCATCACGTTGATGACGTGCTGAGAGCGGGAGCTCAACGTACACGTCCCAAACAGAGAAGATCACAACAATAGCCTGTCTTCATAAACCACCCTTGTTCGTCTTCATACAATATGTTGGGAAGTTGCAGTAAATATCAATACAATATGTTCTATATCCCTTTGTGTTGTGTCTCTCCTTCGTCTGTTAAGATAACTGAACATTTTGTGAGTCTCGAGGCATTGTCAGCCTTTATATCTCATTTGTAAATGCTTAATAAGCCATAGATAGTGCTCACTTTAGATAAGCTCGCGCAAAATACATAATTAACAAGTAGTAAGAGCTTTGTAACTGTGAATTCCTGCATTTATAACTGTTTATAGGCCATCATTAGAAAAGGAATTTGTGGTGAGTTTTATAGAACATTTGCTAACACAGTCACAAATCACATAGTGTGAACAAGAATTCCTAGGAATGTACAGTCAGCAAGAAAACCAGAAAACTTACAACCCCAACTTATCTATTTCACAGCTGTCACTCAAAGCAAGACATTGTAACTCTTACTGACCACAAGTCGCAATGGCAGGAGGATACTGCTAAATGCTAAAACTGTGTAACAGCTGGAGTACAAGAATTGTTCATCAGTTGACTCAGTCATGTCAGTTACTTAAGAGGTGAAGACCTGCTTAGGTTAGCAGTTGGATTGTTTTTAATATACTTGTTATATATTCATGTCTTTTCCTTCAGATTCTGCAGAGCATTGCAAACCATGTCTTGTTTACAAAGGAAGAGCACATGAGGCCCTTTAATGACTTTGTGAAGAGCAACTTTGATTCAGCCAGGAGGTAAGACACTTGCATGATGCTAACTGCCTTTATTCAGTCTCTGAAAACACAAATCCCCATCAGTCTGCACTCTCCTCACTCCACCACAGGTTTTTCTTGGACATAGCATCTGACTCTCCACCCAGTGACTCAGTCAATCACAGTCTGTCCTTCATCAGTGACGGCAACGTGCTGGCCCTCCACCGCCTACTGTGGAACAACCAAGAGAGGATCGGCCAGTACCTCTCCAGCAACAGGTCCAAATAGATTCTTTGATAAAGCAATGCTGCGTAATTTCAATACTGAACACATTTTTAAGACTGCTTCATAATGATCTTATTCCCAGGGACCACAAGGCCGTAGGCAGACGACCTTTTGACAAGATGGCGACACTGTTGGCCTACCTGGGACCTCCTGAACATAAACCTGTGGCTGACACTCACTGGTCCAGTCTCAACCTGACCAGCTCCAAGTTCGAGGAGTTCATGACCAGGTAGGATTCCTGCCAGCCTCTAACTTAGCATAATGTCTCTGCTGTAATATATTGCTGCAATATAGTAGCTGTAATATTAATTGAACATAGACAGATAGCTGCATGGGCTAGTCCCTCGTTAATCCATCAATTAAGCAGGTAAAAGGTCTGGAGTTGATTCCAGGTGTGGCCATTTGCATTTGGAAGCTGTTAACCCACAACATGCTGTCAAAGGGGCTCTCAATGGAAGTGAAACAGACCATCCTTAGGAGGCAGAAAATAAGAAATCCATCAGAGAGATAGCGGTAATGTTAGGAGTGGCCAAATCAACAGTTTGGTACATCCTGAGAAAAAAAGAGCGCACTGGTGAGCTCAGGAACTCAAAAAGGCCTGGATGTCTACGGAAAAAAAACAGTGGTGGATGATCCTTTCTATGGTGAAGAAAAACCCCTTCACAACATCCACCCAAGTGAAGAACAGTCTCCAGGAAGTAGGTGTATCAGTATCTAAGTCTACCATAAAGAGAAGACTTCATGAGAGCAAATACAGAGAGTTCACCACAAGGTGCAAACCATTAATCAGCCTCAAAAAAAGAAAGGCCAGATTAGACTTTGCCAAAAACATCTAAAGGAGCCAGCCCAGTTCTGGAACAGCGTTCTTTGGACAGATGAAGCTAAAATCAAGTACTTCCAATGGCACTGGGTCACTAGTGTTTATTGATGATGTGACAGAAGACATTAGCAGCCGGATGAATTCTGAAGTGTACAGGGATATACTTTCTGCTCAGGTTCAGCCAAATGCAGCAAAGTTGATTGGACGGCGCTTCACAGTACAGATGGACAATGACCCAAAAAATACTCCGAAAGCAACCCAGGAGTTTTTAAGGCAAAGAAGTGGAATATTCTGCAATGGCTGAGTCAATCACCAGATCTGAATCTGGTCGAGCATGCGTTTCATTTGCTTAAGACAAAACATAAGGCAAAGACCCACAAACAAGCAACAACTGAAGACAGTTGCAGTAAAACCCTGGCCAAGCATCACAAAGGAATAAACCCAGCGTTTAGTGATATCCATGGGTTCCAGACTTTAGGCAGTCATTGCCTGCAAAGTATTAAAAATGAACATTTTATTTATGGTAACGTTAATTTGTCCAATTATTTTTGAGCCCTTGAAATGAGGAGACTGTTAAACAATGGCTGCAATTTCTAAACGTTTGATAGGATATTTTTGTTCAACCCCTTGAATTAAACCTGAAAGTCTGCACTTTAATTGCATCTCAGTTGTTTATTATTTATTAATCCAATGTGGTGCATACAGAGCCCAAATCATGAAAATTGTGTCATTGTCCAAATATTTCTGGGCCTAAGTGTGTGCACTTCATGAGTCTTCAGTGGGAAATGTCTTTTCAGGCTCACCTACTGCCTCATCAGTTGCTTAAAGCAATGTGTATCAAATTCATAATCTCACTAAGAGTTCAGCTATCTTTTCTTTTCTGTATCGTCATTTCTCCGCATTTTGTTTCCTCTGTTGCAGCAGAGCCAAATAAATTATTTTTCAAGACATTGACACACTATCAATTCTGACTCTAAATTCACCTTTTTAATGTCTTTTTTTACTTTATTTTTTTGAGATGAGAAAAAAACAGGTAATACACAACAAACAAGACAGACATTATATATTTGGTGACAAGAAAGCACACATTGTCAAAACATGCATTGGGTACATACAATGGCACTGGTAATTGCTAAGTATGGTAATTGCTAAATGTGAATGTATTAGTGCATCTCTTATTTGATATTTCCCCATCCTCATTTGAACTAGAATCCAACTACTATCTGCCTTATTTCTATAGCCCAGCCTGTTTGATCGATCTCAGTGTCCGCGTGTTTAACTGCGATCTGCTTGTCACCAGAATGCAGGTTGTTATTCATGTGCAGGTGTTTGTTAAACAAGTAACAGATTGCTCCTCTGGTACTGGTAATTGTGTATTAGTATTAGTATTAGTACAGTTGACATGTGTGAAGACACAGATGCAAAGTCAATACAGATAGAAAGTCTGTACAGCTGTTAAAGCCGACTGACAGCTGATCAGCTGTGATCAGAAACAAACATCGTCACTTCATGTGACACTTCAGAGGAAAGGATATCTCATTTCTCTAAAAACATATTTCCTCGTTTCTTCTCTCCTTGCATGGTGTTGAAGAGCAACATATGGGAGGGGTTTTTAAGCCAAAAAAATAAAGGCAGGAATAAATAATGAGACAAAATTGGATTGCATTTTGTAGCCTTTTTTTCTAACTATGTCACTCCTTGCAATAAAGAAAAACTTGAAACCAAATCCGCTTGCAAATGCTGTGGCTCCCCCCATTCTCTGTTCATTTGCTACAGCTGTTGTTTTATGATGTCCTCTAAATACCCTTCTTGGGTTTATGTCGGTTTCCTCTTTAGTTTCTTTCAAGCAGTAACCACCATGACTTCATTCTGAGGTTAACGTCAGAGTGCATTTTCATGCACTTCATTATTATCACAGTGATAATGAAGTTTTCTGTTGATATTTTGAGCAAAATGGGTACCTACAACATTAAATACAATATATAACATTTTTTTTCATTCAAAAATTAGATCTTATGAGACATTCTGTAAATCTGTCTTGAGTTCATTGTTAGTTATGACTGGGATAAGAAATATGATCTAATAATGTAATGCAATATAACCTCCCTCTCATACAACAGCATAAAGCCTGTCAGATATTAAGGTGTGACTGATCCTCAGCTCTCTGATTTGTTCTGTAGGCACCAGGTTCATGAGAAGGAAGAGTTCAAAGCCTTAAAGACCCTCAACATCTTCTACCAGGCAGGAACCTCTAAGACCGGCAACCCAGTGTTCTACTACGTGGCCCGAAGGTAGGACCTCTTCTGAAACACAAACACATTACTGTAAATTGTGATTTAGACGATTTTGTAAAGAATATGGTAGGGGTGGTAGTGCATAAGGTATGTCTAATGTCTGCCTCTTCAAATGTGAACTTGACAAAAAAATATTCAATATAATATTGTTCAACACAGCATCAGAACCTACTATAGAACTGAGTCAAACCACAAACAGCTACATTTGTTCATTCTGGGCATGGAAATTGTAACAATCCCAACTCAGTAGCTATTTCAGACCTTTCAACTAGGGATGCCCCAATCAAGTTTTTGCTCCCATCCCAGTCCAAGTCTTTGTCTCATACTGAGTCCAAATTGATACTTTATTTAATTTTTTTTTGTAAATTTGTATCTGACACATTGAAATAACAGCTATAGCTACTAAATCTGACACTCTTTATTTCTCTTGAGCTACTTGATTAGGAATGGGAATTGTTGAGATTTTATTGATGCCAATACCATTAAGCTTCTTAATTGACAAATGTTCTTTGGCTGAGTACAGAAACACAGACTAACAACAGGATTACGTTACCGACTACATTTTTTAACAACCCTCCCAGTCCTGATCAGCGGCAGCTAAAAGCTTTGCTAATAAGACAGAGAAAGGAGAGATGAGACTTGTTAGCGGATCTGTGAATTTTGCCAACCACTGTCTGGACTCACCATTGCACCAAAATAATTTTTCACATTAATGCACTAATGCAATGCTTACATAGGAAAGAGAAAACACTCAAAACACTGTTTTGTATTTTTCCATATGTTCCTATTTACCTGCAAGTCTGCCTTCAAAAACATTTGCTCTCCAAGCTGTAGTGCCTTCTTGTTAGACATGCTTTATTGGAAAGAACACAGGGAAAGGAAATAGAGCTGAAAGTGTGACAGTGGCAGACAATAGAGTGCAGTAAAAGACACTCTGCTGTGTTTTAGCAAACTAGTCCATTAAAATATGCCTAGATAATGATCCATCTCTACTTTCAAACATATCACACAGTCTTCATCAGCAAGGAGACGCATACATCTGTTGATGTCAGTAGATGTCAGCTGCTTGTCACCTTAGCTGTGTTGAACTGTAAAAGCTGTCTGGTGGACCTTGAGTTGGGATCTTCATTGTATATTTGTAGTTTCAACAAAAAACACATTGCATCACATCATACACTTGTGCTAATGTTTTTTTTTTTTCTTTATCATTGCAGAAAGAAACTACTGCATGTGTCTGTTTGATTAACCTTTGCTAGCTGTACCAGTTTTGTGATCTGTATAACTCTGTTATACGCTGTGGTGAATCATACCCTGTAGCACAGTATATGAAATTTCCAGGATGTTGACACACCTATCAACAGTGGTTGCAATAACCACCCAACAGTTTCCGTTTCAAGCAGATAACAACCTTCAGATTGATGTGAGAATTACTGCTGTGCTACATCCCATACCCTCGGTGTCAACTCTGCTTATTCATAAATCTAGCCCTGTACCAAAGCAGAAGCACTGACAGCCCAGTGTAATGGCTAAAATTCCCACTAAACAAAGCAGGGAAATGTATTGGTCTTGTGTTAATTACCACAAATGTTAGTTCTTGTATTGTTTTCTGTTTGGGTATTTACTGTGCACCTTTGTTCTGTCAGTATTCAGTTTTGGATATTTTTATTATTACTTACTAATCAATTACTAATCAGTCAAATTGCATTAATGTTAAACTGGATCTCAGCTATGTCAGCATTCTATCTTGAATTCTGCAGGATGATTTGAAACAGTAGAATAGTTCCATGTGGCCATTCAAATTCCTAATTTAAGGCTTATTTTCACCATGCTGACAGATCTAGACATGCTTTTAACTCAGCATTCATAATGTCCACCACTGACTTCCCGCTGCCTCTCTTTTTGTGTTTTGAGGGAAAACTCCAAACTCCATGTTTGTCCCAAGGTTGCCACCTATTATAACGGACGATTATTTGATTCATCAGAGAAGAAGCACCCCAAGAAGAGGTTTTACAAACATAGTCTTGCTTACCTGTCAACCTAAATGTGTAAAAGGTACAAGGTAGGCTATGAACAGCCCTGCCGTCTTTTCTTTTTTTTTCCTACTTTTTTTAGGCGGGTGCATCTAAGGTCTTTCATACAACTCCTAATCCAGACCAGGTCACTTCCTTTCCTGCTGTCCAGTGTAGTAGTCACTGCAACTGATAGTTAAGCCAGGAGCCTTGCAGGATCTTGATGATTTGTCAGTTAGGATACTGGAATGATGAATATATTGTAAGCCCTCCTTCGAGTGGACTGTTTAATTGCTTTATAGTATAATAAAGCAGCACCAACATTACAAAACACAGTCACAACTTTATATGACAGAAAATGAAATAATTTGATCTAATAATAACTTTTAAGTATCTTTGCCAGGAATACAAAACAGTTCTTGTCTTTGTTGAAATTTTGATGGGCCGTCCAACTCTGTCTTTTCAGTGTGATTGTTAGATACTTGTGCTTTGGTTTTTCTTCTTGAAGTTTATTTTGTTGCATCAAAGACTATTTGATATCATGTAATTCATACTATTACCTATTGTTTCCACTGCAGACAGGAACAACTATAACTATACTATGAATTTCTTTTTTCTTTTAATCCTTTCATTAAATTAGCCCTTTATTGGTAACTTTTTTTCTATTTTGTTGTATAGACATTTTTAGGCTCCTCACCGCTATGGTGCCCGTATCTCAGTAGGTAGTCTTCTAAACGCAGGGTTGGTGGTTCATGGTTCCCCCGGCTGTGTCCATGTGTCAGAATTGTTGCCTGGCTGCCCACAGCTTCCCATGGCTCTTAATGTACAGGATTGGTAAAATACATTAGAAAAAAAATAGTTTCAGTGTATGTAAATGATGAGAAATGACACTAAAGTCTGTGGACCTGAATACTCCGAGACTGATCTGAACTGGCTCCATTCTGGTTTGTGCACCTAGTTTTGAACCATTAGGATCATTACAACCAAAAATATATTTGTTCAGAACCCAAAAGTAGCAGGTTTTCCTTGGGAACCAAAATGGGCATGTCATATTCTCCCTCTGTTGATGATGCATCCTTGATTACAATGGTTCAGCTCAAAATTGGTGGAAACGCGGGCTGGTTCACTACATAGCACCAAGGTTCCAAGAATCTTGAACCAAACCAGTTCAAGAACCACAGGTGGTGGGAAAACACTAAGAGGAAGCCAGGTGTGCCACTGGGGGCTATGGAATGTTATGTAATGTATATTGTCAATCCTCAGTAGCACAAGCATCACCATTATGAAGAGAAGCGCAGAGAACATAGCAGTCTGTCAATGTGCAAGCCATTATACTGAGAGTTGGGCATTGATATTAGCACTCCACATAATTAGATATTTTGAGTTTCTGTGTTGTAGGTTTATACAGTTCATATTTGTGTATAGGATTGTGAGAGACATGTTGAGCTAGTTGAAAGATGATAGTGAAGTCGCAACAGTTTTTACAGGGGAAATGAAAATGGAGGCGTTAAGTGGAGTTAGTTGGTCATATATTCAGTGTCCAAAATAATACAGTAAGTAGTGTATTCTGGATCCAGTCAAGGTGGTTCAGAAAGTGTTGAATGCTGTCGTCACAAATAAAACAGTCAGGCTGACGGTTTGATGAGTCTCAAAGACGAGTCCCTGACCGTTATTCCGTGAATTAGCTACTTTGGGCTTCTTGGTTGAGGACCACGGGCTTTTGGTTGTGCTTGTGTGTGTGGAGAAACTATCAAAAGTTGTGGAAGATGTCCAGACAAATACCATGTGGTCCTCGGATTCATTCACTCCTCTTTTATCCTGATATATTCCTGTCTCGAAAAGTGCAGATTTTACCTGGTAACTAGACGTGACCTCTGCAGTCCTTGCTGGTGATTGAACATCATGCCCTTCACCTCTGCTATTAACCCACAGTGGTGGTTCTGTGAATAGTGCAGAGTGCCACTCCCTCCCCGGTGTTGCCAGATGGTTTTGCCCACAGATGGGTCTTGTATAACAAGGGCAGCCTAAGACAGTTGCACGGGTCTGCTCAGCCCATCTAAGGAGCCGTGTTATGTTTTCTTCTTCTTCACAAGCCCAGGGGTTATCCCCAAGAGTCATCACCTCCAGCATCTTCAGCTTATCAAAGATCCCTTCAGGTAACCAGGAGAAGCGGTTAGCATGCAAATAGAACTGAGTCAGCCTTGGCAGCCGATCCAAAGAACCAGGCAGGATCTGTGTTAGATAGTTATGTGATAAATCGATGCTCTCCAAGTTGTGTGGCATGTTTGTGGGCACAGTCCAAAACCTGTTGTGGCTGAGGTTGAGAGCTTGGAGACTGGGCAGTGTGTTGTTGATGAAGACCACTCTCTCCAGCTCGTTGTCCGACAGGTCTAGTACTTTCAGGTTCCAGTGGTAAGCTGTGTCATTTTTGTCCAACGAGCGTAGATGGTTCCCCGCCACTCGAATGTCCCACAGAGACCGTGGCAAGGCAGGGGGCAGGCTCTCCAGGCGGTTGTAGGACAAGTCCAGGGTCCGTAGGTGGGCATAATGGCTGAGCTGGCTGTCCAGACCCTGCAAGCTGTCAGAACAGTGTAGTATTTAAAAAACTCATTCATGTAGTGACTTTTTGTTTAGAGAGCTCTTATAAAATCACATTTTATTACCAGCCTAATCATAAAAGCAGGTAGTGAGAATTAAGAGATAATGAAAAATGCTAAAATTGTGTAACTGTAGAGTCATAAAGTTAGCAAACTGACTCAGTTACACAGCGTTGCCTATGTTATGTTTGCTAACATTAGCCACCATAAGCTACTGCTTAAACCTGACCAAGAAATGCGTGACCAGTTATTATTTATGAGGTCAACTTTTCATATGTAAGATGGAGTTTTGTCAGAAGTCCAATAGATGCACTTGAAGTGCTTTCCCACTACAGTATATTTACTGTTACCACCCTGGCACTTAACATTGAGGGCATGAAAGCTTTTTGTGAGATGATGAGCTGCTCTTGTCTCTCCAATTCAGTCTTGTGTTGTGGCTCAGACAGATCATATCTTTAGCAGTGAGGGCCTACATGCTGTACAAACAGCCCTGAAGATTTTGTTGGTACAGAGGTAAGAAAGACTGGCCAAATATCTCTTCTTCCTAACCTTAACCCTTGCATCTTTAAGAAAAGAATAGCTTTAGTGGGACCTGCTTTAGGATTGTAGATCTAACTCTGTACCTTTTGTCACCTCTCACATGCACAGAAATCCAGTAATTGTCAGAGTGTGCCTACTGCAGCTGCTCACCTATTAAAAGAGAGGTTGAGAAAGCGGATGTTGTGCTGCAGACCAGGGGGTAGCTTGGTTAGGCCTCGTGAGGAGCAGTCCACCACACGGTGTCCCCGGCTGCAGGAGCACACAGAGGGGCAGATGGACAGCACCCAACCTCCGAGGAGCCCACAGAGCAGCAATAGAAGCAGGCAGAGCAGAGAGGCAGAGCAGGCAGGCATGGTCAGGGTTCTAGAGAATGAAAAATAAATTAAACAGAAAGTATGCAAAATCATTTCACACCGTTTTATGTAATGGATTAGATCTTCTGTGTATTATGGTAACACCAACAAATAGTTTGGTTCATTCAAATTCTGCCCTGTTTTTGGTGTATAGAGTTACATTTTGATACGATTTCTTGTATGTATTCCATTGTTTTTCAATAGCCCAGATAATCCTCTGGTGTGCTGGCTTTGGAATTGTTTCAGCCAAGTTATAAGTATTCTCCATCAATGTTGTTGCCCAGCCATCTGTAACACTGCAACAACACTGAAATGCATGTTCTAGTTTAAAGTTTAAAACTTGCATTGCTTCAGACATAATATATTTCTACTCACAGCCCAGTGTCCATGCCGTGATATATAACATAGCTTCAGAAAAATAAGATCAATTCAGTGACACAAGTTATCCACTATCTAATGAAATATCTCGACATGTACTTGATGCACAAAATCTGGTGAATAGATTCACGGTTCTCAGATGGAGAATCCTAATGACTTGTCCTGATACTTCAGTTTAAGTTCAAATACCTGAAAAAAGGATGACATTCTCTATTCCCTGTTGAGAGTATTAGAAAGCTGGTTCAGCTTCACTGTGTGAAGTGTTGTTGCAGTTGTATCCAGTGAGGGAAAAAAAGGTAAACCTGGTAAGGTTGCTTTTTCTAAAATCTGACTACAACATGTAGTTAGTTGAATGGTAGGCCAGCCCAAGGTTTTTCTTGTTTTTACATTTTGTTTTTGAGGCTAAAATTAGGTCAGATTTTGTTTGTTATTTTGCATGGACTTGTCTTTGGGAATCCTCAACTTTTACAGCATTATTTTGGTATTGCACATGCTCAGATCAAATTCATGGTGCACTTAAGCACCAGAGTCCTCACCAGACTCCAACCTACCCTCCCTCTGGGACCGCTTGCAATCTCAGTAATTAGTTTGACACTTCCTTTCTGACCGAAACTGAGGCTACAATCCTGCAGCAGCCGAGTTGTATGAATAACGTGAGGCTTGAGCTGTCATCACAATGTAATACCACTGACGGTATGTGCCACTGGATTTTAAACAGTTTGAGAACAATTCACTTTTGATGCATGTGAACTGCAGTTCAAATGGATCACAGTCTGATTATTTTTAATGTCAACAATCACTTCAAACCTGTCAGGACCAGTCCTGTTGTAAAGTGGGACAGGTAGCTTAGCTTTCTGCTCCTGATGCATTTTATAAGGGTGCTAGTCATCCTAAGTGCCAGCCGGTTTGAAGCTCTGCCAGTGGGACTGGAGCTCAGAGTGCTGCAGTGAGACTCATTCAGGACGATACACCAACTGTGTGTCCGCAACTGCAGATGTTCTGAGCTAAACACTGACAGTCCATGTGTGTTTGTGTTTTCAAAGACAAGACTGTGGGACACCCTTGAAATGCATTCCAGAAATTTCCTCGCCGTTGCGTTGTCCGGTTGATGGCAGTGGATGCTCTGCTGTGATTGTGTCTCACATGACTAAATTCCTCTGTGTGTTTGTTTAAACGCTGTAATATTACTTTTGTTAATGTCTCTGTGGAATACTAAAAGGTGAAATCTGCATAGAGACAGAGCAGGGAGTAGCACAACCTCACACTGTAGTTTACTGCATTAACAGGATTCAGATTGAAATGGGTCACTGCCCTTCCCTTTAGGTGTATATGGGTCATAAGCTTTTTCTTATTTTTCCATTTTAAAGCACTCACCTCATCCTTTCTAGTGTTGTTCTGTCATTTCTCCTTTTCCACTGTTGTCTCCTCCTCCAGCTCCGGCTGTGTGTTTTTCGTTTTCCCTTTGTGGTTTATCGGTTCTCTGCTGTTGGTTGGTAGTGATCTCAAGCTTTTTTTTCTGGCTCTTGTGGATGTTGTGGCGTGGCACTAAACATGCTGCCTGCAAGCACCGGCCCCTGTCCTGCTCACCACTCTGCAGGCTCCAGATGCAGCTGAATGTGGGGAGAGAGAGAGACAGAGAGAGAGAGAGAGAGAGAGAGAGAGAGAGAGAGATGCAGCAGCGAGTCGGCCCACTCTGCTGCTGATGAGGCAAGCAAGAGCTGTGTGTGTGTGTGTGTGTGTGTGTGTGTGTGTGTGTGCTGACAGCAGCATGCTTCAGCAGCTCTCTCTCTCTCATGCACAAGCATTGTTATGCACGCTTTATATTAACAATGGATAAATTGTCGCTTGTATCATAGAACCCATAGAGAATTACCACTATCTAGATTGTCTTACCTCTACAGAGCCTTTTAGGGTTAGTCATTAGACTTGTTTCCAGCAACAGCAGGAAGCTGTTTTTAACAAATGAGCTCCAGTACTACCTGGATTAAAGCGGCTATAACACATACTTTTATCATTCCAATGTACAAAATGACAATATGAAGACAATGTAAAAGTTGTCTTTGGTAGTGATGGAAATACAGATAATTAACTGCTAAAGCTACAGCTCACCTCAGCTTAACCAAGCTTTATAATGAGTTTCAGCTTATTTTTTTAGCAGTCCGGCCCACAACATTACTGTTTTGGCTCAGTCTCTCAACCCCCTCTGTACACTACCTAATCGGCACGAATCATCAGAGACTAGTTGCTGAAGATAATGGCGCATTTAGCAGCTAAAAAGCAAAATATTTGCAACCAGACCGGAGATAAACGAGAGTGAATATTGGGCTAATGAATATGAATATTACTTGGTATTCTGCTGAATATGTAAACAGCAGGGTGTCCATTGGGTCTTAGGCCTTAACCTGTCTTACATATAACTTTCACAGGTCCTAAAAATAGATTGAATTAATGAAGTTAGTTAACGTTACTACAGTGATGCTTGTAAATGTGTTCTGGGAAGAATGGGTTTTAATAAATATCAGTGTGTATTTATGTATATTTCATACACAAATCTGACGATCGGTTTGTGTGTTCCGCCTTCTGTCGGCGCCGCCAGTACTGGGGGGCAAGTCGTAGTGACTGTGTGACTGCTGCTACCTGCTGAGAGTGACAGTAGCATGGGTAGTTGAACTGACGACGTGAGGCAGTGGCCTCCAGTTACTGATGAGGATACCTTTTATATGGATGGAGATCATAGTGTTATTCAAATTTTAAGTATTAGTGACATTTGTTAAGAGTAAAAAGGAGCGACCGTCTGACACATTTCAAGTGATGTACTGTGTAATACTGTACTAGCTACCTTAATCAATCAAGAGTTTCATTTAATTATCAGTTATATTAGTAAAGAAAATAGTTAATACCTACTCATATTTTTTAATACATATTCAAGTTCATCACCTGACATGCAAACATCTTGGTCAAGGTAAAGTCAAACATACTGTTGGAACCTGCTGAAAGACTGAAATAAGGAACAGTTTGCCATATCAACTTAATTCTATTCAATTTTATTTGTATAGCACCATATATCTAATGTGTGTTATATTGTAAAGAAAAGGCACTATGGTAGGTTTCCATTTTTTATTGAAAACTGAGACTTACTGTTTGAAATATATTGTGATTGCATTAGACATGACATAATCGCTGTTGTTTGACTAAAAGAAGCAAACACATGATGGCACTGCAGGCTGAATGTTTTCTGCCTTGTGGTGTCTGACAGTAGCACATGGTTTGTTGGCTCATGGCCATGTTAACAGAGGGTCATGGGCTACTGTCAGGCTGGTACATGTGGTTGTAAAATGACCAATTGAGCTAAAATAGCAGATAAAATAGCAATAACAATAAATACAATTGAAGTGAAGTAATTTACTTCTTCCTACGTCTACCTCAGGTTTGGGTACTTCTAATAGTTAATATAGATAACTCACTTGCAACATCAAAAACCACAACCACTCAGACATGAAACCAATTCCAAGGCATAAAAAACAAATTAATGATATACAAGTATACATTTAGAGACATTTCAACAAAAGCTTCATGGTCAGGATTTAGTTGCAAAGGAAGAAGATGGCCATTACACCTAATTAGCTTCTCATGACTCAAAGCCTAGAAATAGCACTCAATGCAAATCCAGTGTCACATCAAATATTTTTCACCTCCATTGCCAAATTTTCCAACCAATGTAATTAAAGCTGCAGTAGGTAACTTTCATAGCAATGACTTTTTGTCTTTTTTGCTGAAACGTTCACTATACTGTACTGCAGCTTTAAGATCTGTTGCCAGTTTATTTTTCAGATATCACGCTAAAACATGGGCTGAAGGAGGTTCTCATATTTGTACAATCAAAGTGAATCCACTTTTACCAGCTTTGCTATTCCATACGTTTTAATTTTGTGTGGTACATTTCAGTGTGTTTTGTTGTCTTACAACGCCTTGTATGAGTAGTCCAGTTCTGTTTACAATATAAATATCCTGGCAGTCAGCAGTAGGTGCAGCTGGGAACTGAAAAGTGCTGAGGCAAGGGAGGATGGGGCACTGTTGCTAACAGTCTTGTAGCTAGTGGTTTCTGTTTTATGATGGTGGTGCCCACACTTGCACTGGCACAGTAGAGGGGTAAAACTCTTGTAAGCAGACAGCATGTAATGCCATTTTTAAACTTATCACACAGGCCTCAAAGAACAGTGTACTAAGGTACTACTGCATTGGCCTTGTTTCACAGGCTTGGAAACTCCAACCACTATTTATAATACAGTCTATGATTATGATTGAATGATATGAAAGTTAGATGAGCATGATATATTAAAGGACCAGTGTTTAATATTTAGAGGCATCCAGCGGTTTAGTTGCAGATTGCAGCTCCTTCGCTTCATCCTCCCCTTTTAAGCACATAGGAGAAACTACGGTCGCCAAGAAATGCCCAGAAAATGCAAACTGCCCTATATAGAGCCAGTGATTTGTCTGGTTTGTCTCTTCTGGGATACTGTAGAAACATGGCAAACTCTGTGAAAAGCGACCTTCAGTGTCTGTAGATAAAAACAGCTAATTCGAAGGTAACAAAAACACAAGACTGATTCTTTCCATTATACACTCATGAAAACATACATATTAATATTATATTCCATTTCTGCCAATAGATCCTCCTAAATGTTTTACACTGGACTTTTAAATTCAAAGATGTGCGGCTCAACTGCCAAGGATATTGAACCTTCTTTCTTGTAAACTGTACATGCCACATTACTCTGCAGATAGTGTATCAGTGAAACAAATATGTGCAGTCATGTGGTCTAACTCCTTTGACAGATGAAACATAAAGCCCTTTTTTCATAATCACCTCTAAGCTAGAGAAAAGCTATTAGTCATATGTTAAACCGAATGCGGGCCCCTGTGCTTTACTGAAAGTGATGCTGTTTTTTCTCACCATCACAGATGCTTCTGCTTTTACATCATTTTCAAGATGACTAAAAAACTGACTGCATGTGCCTTATTGTTATATTTTCTCCAGTAGCAATCTCCATGGGTCGCTAACGGCAGAGAAGATGTTGGGAAGAAAGCTTTTTAGATTTACACTCTTCTTGCTGACATTTTTACACAGTGATAAAGAAAATACAGCAGGAGTCTGGTGTGAGGATCTCTGGAGTGGTGAGGGGTAGAGATACAGTTACCTATAATTTAGAACCAGGGTGTCTTGAAGGAAAGGCTCCAATAACCTGACTTATGACTCTAAAACTGCCCTGTGCGTCACACATGATTGAGGATCTATAAGTGTGAAAAAATATTTTTCTTTCTACTGTTAATGATTAATTCTGATCCTCTGTGTTAATATTATATTGCTGTACCACTTTTCAAATTTGGCAGTAGATAAACATCACTTCTCTTTTTGATTTCCTCAAACTATGAAAGTTAGTCAGTTTCCTGTGTTTTCAGTCACAGTTGTTGTTGCCTCGAAACCAATGAAAGTGGATGCGTTGGGGAGGAGGGGGTGTATTAAGTTCACTTAAGGTTGCCCAAGGCCATCATTCAGTTGTGCCTCAGCATTTTCTGCAGTTCCAGATAGAGTAGGGGGATTTTCGGGATTTACAATCTCTGAATTGTTATTAGTGGAGTCAGTTTGTGAAGGGGACACTGAGACAAAAGTCTCTGGAGCGTCTCCTGTGCTTTTCACTTCTGGAACAACTACAACAGCCCCATTGCTTTCTTGTGCATCATTTCCATCCACCTCTCGGCCAGCTGTGCTCTCTTGACGTTTATTTCCGAATGTAGTACCTGCTGTCAAGTCTTCTAACTCTTCATCTGCTTCTGGGAGCAAGGACAACCTTTTGGACAGCCGCTGAGGCAGGAAGCTGGACAGAGAAATTCGGTTAGACGACCTCAGTGTTACCTGGCCATTGTCAGCTCCACCCTCTAGAAATGGCGAAGGGCCAGCCCATTCGCTAGTTGTTATCTGTTGCCTCTGAAGCTTCCGTTTCTTTACATAGATGACCAGGAATCCTACCATCATAAACACCAAGGAACCACCTATTACCCCTGCCACTGCTTTACTGTGGTTTGTTCCGTTTTTGTCCTTTGCGTTTTTTTCATCAGGATGTTGTCTTTTCTTTGCCTTGGTGATGAGGGTGAATGGTTTCTTTGTCGTTGCCATTGAAGTTTTGTATAAACGTGTGGATTTTGTAGCATCACCTCCTCTGACTGGACTTGTACTTGCAGACTTGCTTTCAACAGTCTTAGTAGATGTGGTTGCAGTAGAGATGATGATTGTAGACTGTCTTGGATGTGTAGATAAATGGGTAATTTTGTCACTGGTGAGTTGGGAGGTTGACGTCTTTCCTGTTTCTTGGCCTTGGGTGGAGCTGCTCAGCACTCGAGGTGCCATTGTAGTTTTGGTTGGGTTGCTGACTTGGCTGGTTACCACCATTGCTGCCAATGTTGTGACTTTCAATTGTACCTCTGTTGTGAACTTCATGTCTACTGTTGAGCTGTTGTTGACTAACTGAGATGATATGGAATTGGTTGTCGCTGCTGCTGTTTGAATATTTGGTAAGAATGTTGTAGAAGGATTTGTTTGAATTGTTTGCAGTGAAGGTTTCGTACTGGGTTTTGTAGTGTCTTTCTCTGTTGTAACTTCTGAGAGTTGATTTAAGCTCGATGCCTCCTGTGTTGTCAGCTGGCTGTGAGTGAACTCATTTCCTACCTCACCCGTCATCACAGTAGTGAGGTTGTGATTCTGGACAGATGTCACTGTGCCGCTTGCTGTCAGTGGCAACAGCCATATGAAAACCAGGCTTAGGAAATCCATGGCCATTTTTTCTTCTATCCCCTGGTGTGCTGTGCTGTCTTTGTAGCTGGAACAGAGGAAGTTGTTTTTTTTTATATCAGAGACGCACAGCAATACAGTCTGAAGCAATGCCCTCTGATGAGGAAATAGTTAATGGGAGTTTGAGCAAAAAAGTGTTAGTGTTGTGACATATAACCTGGTGTAGCAACGTTTCCTTAAAATGCAACTCTAAATAGGCATATGTTTCAAGGGTTTGTACTGAGTATATTTAAGGCATTATAGTCAATGTTTTTTTACATTCATCTCTCGAGTGATCTTTGGTTACATGTTACAATGTTAAAATATATTAAACTAAAAGAGGTTTTCAGTTGAGCTTGCTTTGATTACTTATTTCTTGTTTTGTTTCAACTTTATTATCATTCCTCAATCAAAAGTTGCTCCAAGGAGCTGTAGTTGTGGTTGATTCAGTTGCAGTTTTGAGACTGTTTTTGTCCATTAAATATATACAAGTTGTATATATCTGTCATGCATGGAATTTTTTTATACTTTTGTGTGGATCCACTCATTTAGCATCAATCACATCTAACAACATATTAGGTAGACCTAAAGCTACATTGATAATTTTAATCTACTTACCAGTGACTTTGCACCGATAGCCTCCGTAACCTGGTAGCTGTGTTCAAAAAATGTTCAATAGTTGTAGGATCTTATGCAGTTGCCTGTCTGGTAGGATGTCTCTTGAATTAAAGCAGGAACTAGGGGCATAAATGGCTCTCTCTGCTGAAATGTTGAGACTGATTCTTGCCTCACTTACAGGAAATGTGACATGTGAAACCTGATGACAGCCCTATGCATTTTCAGTCTGCTATGCTAAAAATAGGAGTTCATGTTTCACACCAAGTCCTCTCTACATTAAAAACGCTTTACAAAACACTGAATTGAACTGAATTTACATTTGTAGAAATCCACTATTTCCAGTAACTTGACTTGTATGATCTCGTTAGACAAAATCATTTCAACATGTAGGTACTTTTTGAAAATGTGCTCAGTTACTGAACCCTGAACAAATTACATGCCATAAAGTCTTCCTTTTCTTTTCATGTTGACCAAGCCATTGTCCACTAATGGAGACAGAGGAACCAATTAGGCTGCTGCTTCCTATTTGGACAACCTTGCTCCTATAGGGATTATGAGTGAGCCACATCTAAACTTGTGATGTGAGTCTACATTTGCAAAGAAAGTTTCTGTTTGCTCTGTACTGAGCCTGTATCACATACAATACACTTATACATTCTTAAACACCAAATAGTTTTGCAGTTTCTCTCCGTGTGTTACTATTGCTCATACAGCTAGTGATGCAATGTCTGCTGAGACACATTTAGACGCAGCCTAAACATTAACCTCAGTATTATTTGGCCACATCCAGTCTTAAGGATTGTCTGATAACTATAACAATAACTATAAACTAGTGCTACATGATATGGTAAAAACATCACATTGTGATTTTTTTGACAGATATTGTGATTGCGGTATGATTTATGATTAGTGTGGGAATGATCATTTTTGATCTTTTTTACTCTCTCTCTGTTTTTTCTCTAAATAAAAGATGACAACTCTTTGAGTGTTGGACTCCCATCATCTTTGTGAAACCATATCCTTCTGGTTTCTTTCTGTTTCTCTGTGCAACATAGTTGGTGTTCTTGGTGTGAATGACCCTTTAAGGCCAGAGGAGCTATCATGTTCATTCAAACCTCTGTTTCTACAGGTGTAATAAATCCGTCACATTGAGTCATGCACACAGGGAATAATATACACTAGTTCGCCATAATAATGATAATAAAAAAGAGTATTTGCATTATATTTGTGCTTACCACGCCTTCAGTACTTCAGTATTTTCACCTCTGGCTAAGAACTACGTTACAATTATGCTTCAGTGCTTTTTTATGACACAATCCCTAAAGAAACAGATATAAATATAGGGATAGTGACTTGAATTATGATTTATTAAGTTGAAGACATTGACACAATGCAAAAATCAATTTATTCAAAACTGACATTTTAACAGTCTCTTTTTCATGTACGCAAGCATAAAAAACAGTAGCATTAGAAAGTCTGCAGTACAGGTAAGAGATCATAGACAGCTAAACTGACAGAAGCAGCAGAGATTTACTAATTTTTATAACACAGACTGTTAGTAAAATAAGACATTTCAAGTAGTCTTACAGTAAATCTTTAATTTGTTAAGCAAGTGTGAAAAAATATGCAGCCTGTCATATTAGATGTTTAAGTTAGACTTCACTAATTCTCATGAAACATGTAAAGAAAAATATACACCTTGATCTTTTTAAACGATAAGTTTGCCAAGAAAACACTATTCAAATAACTCAAATATTCTCATTATTTTAACTAAAGTATTCTTTCTATTCTAAATTTAGTATTCATGTACTATTTTCTAAACAGTATGAATATTTTGAATAAATTCCACTGATAGTATCATACATCAAAACATACACAGACTAGATATTGAACCACAATACTTTTTTCATACTGACCAAAATGTATGTGGCATTGAGTATCAAACTAGATGCATTGTCAGATTTGTAAACATACTTGTTCTTAGATCAGATAGTTCCTGATTAAAAGCATACCTTGACAGATTTAGACTATATGCTATTAGATATATAACATTTGAGAACCTTGGCTTCTTTTGTTGAGTGAAAAAAGGGGTTTAGTTGAAAAATTAATTTATAATTGTCAAAGAAAGGCAATGAAAAACAATTTTGCTATGGGTACCAAAACTCAAGTATTGTATCAACACTAATATTCCAAATTTCAATTTCATTTTAGTGAAGTTTTCATTAAATTCTGTGAAAAACTGGAAAGAACATGAATTTAACCATAAGACATTAGCTGAACTGAGTGGTTGCTGTTTGTCTTGAGTGAAATGTCAGGAGTTCACCGTGGTCAGGATAACTCTTCACACAACAAGGGGCATGTCCTCTAGATCCCTGGGGACCTCCAGACAGGAGTCTCTGGAGCTGGAGCTCGGCATCAGACAGTCCTTCTCTTCAGGATCAAAAGCCATTGCCATGGCCCCAGCCTCCTCTTTTCCCTCTTGTATTTCAGCCAGCCTTTCCTTCTCCACCTTGCTGTCTGCTCTCACCTCCTCGAGCATGACACTGGCATCACACGGCCCAACCACTCCCCCGGCCTCCGGCCGTTCAGTGCCCCAGTAGCCCACACTGCTCACCAAGTCCATATTGGACCGGGAGGTTCGGGGGGCATAAACCCGGCGCTGAATGTGGCAGACCTGGCATGCCAGTACCACAATGGCAACCAGCAGGCAGACAATCAGCCCCCCTGCTGAACCTATAGCAATCAGACCCATCTCAGTGTCGATCAAGCAGTCGGCTCGAGTGCCATTGGTGTCTGTATCAGGAGAGTTTGTGTGGTCAATCGTTGTGGGACCAGACACTGCAGCAGAGGTTGAGCCGTCACCATGATCATTTGTTGTGTTCGAATAAGTTAGCATGGTTGTAAGGTGTTGGTCTGCATCAGTAGGACAGAATGGCAGCTGGTTGAGCAAGAGAAACAGCCAGAGAGCAGTTCTGGTACCTTCCATTGTGCTGAAATGAAAACAAATGTTTTGAAAAGAATAAATTCAGTTCAGAAAGACTGCATCACTTACAGCCTAAACTATTTAAGATGAATTTAAATCAAAAAGGTTTCACTTTTAATGTGATCAGAAAGAAGCAGCAGGATCTAGTTTTGACAATACTTACTTGAAGTTGTCTGATTTGGAGGTCTTGTTGGACAGATGCAGTGAGAAACCTGCTGCAGTCAGACACTTGAGATGCTCTGCACTCACTTCCTGACCACCTCTCTGGGTCTTTTTCTGCTCTGGTTATTTCAGGGCCTCTGGTTTCATACCACAGATGCTTAAGAACTTACAAGAAATAAGAGACAAAAAGGAAATGCAAAAACCAAAACGGCATTCATTAGTGTCACGTATTATGCTATGAACAATTTTAGGCAGGGGCATGTGTACAAACATAATGCACAATTTACTGCAGAAGGCCTGAATTTGAATTTGTCCTTGTCTTTTTTTTATCTCCTTCAGGTTCAAAACAGGCCAGATCAACGGTGACCTGCTCATCTACCATGTCCTCCTCACCCTCAAACCCTACTACGCCAAGCCCTACGAGATAGTTGTAGACTTAACACATGTAGGACCTAGCAATCGCTTCAAGACTGACTTTCTGTCCAAGTGGTTTGTGGTCTTTCCTGGTTTTGCCTACGAGAACGTAGCAGCTGTCTATGTTTACAACTGCAACACGTGGGTGAGGGAGTACACAAAGTACCACGAGCGGCTCTTAACAGGACTGAAGGGCAGCAAACGGCTCCAGTTCATCGACTCCCCGGCTAAGCTGGCCGAGCACATCGAACCTGACCAACAGAAGCTACCTGCAGCCACACTGACCCTGGAGGAAGACCTGAAAGTGTTCCACAATGCCCTCAAGCTGGCCCACAAGGACACCAAGGTTTCAATAAAGGTGAGGATGCAACCATAGCATTCTGTACTAAAAGGTGCTGTATATTTTGACTGAAAGGATTAGATAAGCGAATAAGCCTTGGGTTTTCTAAAACAATGTATTATTCTTGCTGATCAGGTGGGCTCGACCGCAGTTCAGGTGACCTCAGCCGAGCGGACCCGTGTCCTCGGCCAGCCCGTCTTCCTCAATGACGTCTACTACGCCTCAGAGATTGAAGAGATCTGCCTTGTGGATGAGAGCCAGTTCACCCTCACTATGGCCAACCAGGGCACACCACTCACATTCATGCACCAGGAGTGTGACGCCATCGTCCAGTCCATCATCCATATCCGGACACGCTGGGAACTGTCGCAGCCAGATTCCATACCACAGCACACCAAGATCCGACCAAAAGATGTTCCTGGCACTCTGCTCAACATCGCTCTGCTGAACCTGGGCAGCTCTGACCCCAGCCTCAGGTTAGTCCGGCAGGGCACGATTGTTTGACTTAGAAAAAAATGTTTTTCTGGCTCTAAAAGAAAAGAGGGTCGGATCCATGTAATTGAGACACAGAGGATTTTTTTGCTAATCAAGCTTAAGGATGTGAGAATGCAAATGTAAAAGTAAAATCCATATTGTCAAATCTGAAGCAAGCAAGTCCTATGCAGTGAAACCCCATCTGTTTGATGTCGTCTTATCATTCAATTTAAATTCTAGGGATGATGATTCAATTGAACAATTCCCAATTTAAAAATCAATTCTTGAGCTAAAGGTCTGACTTGGGCTGTACGAATCACTCACCCACGTGTTCTGTGCCACAGTCAGTAACCGATCAGTAATGAAATCCAACAGTGTGTCATTACTTATTAGCAGACTGCCACTACGGCTGCAGGGACTGACTGCTGGTCTTTCAAGCAGAACACATTATTAATTTTTCTAATTAATAATTATTACTAATATTTTGTGTTTAGTAAGAATTGGGGTTTTTTTTACCTCAAAGTTGAATTAAGTCATTAAATTAATAAATGCTTGCAACCACTGCCATTTTTGAAGACAGACTACAACTAACTCTAGCGTGTGCATGCTTTAGATTGTCCAGGGTTAGGGTAATATCTCGCAAATGAGTTTCACCTTTTTTGTTCTGTCAACATTGCGTTATTAACTAACATTTAGAAAATGGATTTTGGACAAGCTATTATTTCTGCCCAAATCTCTTAGTGACAACTGAGGAATAGTGAAACACTACTACTAGTACTACTCTTGTGCAGGCTAAACACCTCTGCTTGGTTGTCCATCCCACATCCAGGTCTGCGGCTTACAATCTGTTGTGTGCTTTGACCTGCACCTTCAACCTAAAGATAGAGGGCCAGCTGCTGGAAACGTCTGGCCTCTGCATACCAGCCAACAACACCCTTTTCATAGTCTCCATCAGCAAGACTCTGGCTGCCAACGAGCCCCATCTGACTCTGGAGTTTCTGGAGGAGTGCATCTCAGGCTTCAGCAAGTCCAGTAAGTCTTAACTTGGGCTATTCAAAGTGCCTTTTTTGGGGGTTTATGCAAGATATGTTGTTGGGCACGTGAGTAGATTTACTAGTAGGTCACATATTCAATAATTAAAATGGTTGTTCTCTCAGCTGGAGCGGAAACTAGACTGCCCCCCATGTTAGACCAGAACTGACAATCTAAAAGCCCTTCTGGTAGCTCCTAGAGGCCATATGTCTATACAGCTGAACCAAAGCAGTTTAGACCAAATCTCGGATGTTTTTATCCTTTAAAGCCCTGTGCTTTCACTAAGAAGACTAAGAAGGTCTATTAAAGGAAACTCGTTAGTTCTTGGAAGCACTCTAGGGTAGTTATGTAAAGTTATAAAAAGGCCATGTTGAATCCTTGTTTTTTCAAATAGTTAGTGCTTTTTACATTATGTGAAGCAGGTGTCATGTTGGCAGTGTGTCAGAAGGATTGCATTGCTCAGCAAAGAGCTAGATTAGTGGTAGGAACAGAGGAGAATTTTCTTTTCCATCGCAGCTTTTTAATATGCTGCCATTGTTACTGGTTTAGTTGATTTCCATAGTTGACCGTGGTTCTTCTGCTTGGGTATTATTATGATTGACTTGGTTCTCTCAGTGCACACACATGTTGGATATTCAACTCGTCCTCCCCTCTTTTAAAATGCCACACACTCCAGAAATGTATGTGATAACTACAGCTAAAACAAGCATAATAAACTTAATAATTGGTGATATTTGTTATTTTGTGCTACTTGTGTTAAATGGGATTCTACATTTCCCAACAGCATAATTTGGTGAGACCCTCTTCTGGTGGAGGAGCTCCATTCTCAATCTGGCTGCTCACCAAAACTTGGCTCTGCACTCTAATAGTAGTTAACTATTATAATTACGCTCTCATGTTAATCTATGTCACTGTCTATCTACCCAAGCTCCCTGCAGACTCAACTCTTCTGTGGCTCACGAGCATAACCATGACCTGAAGCGACTATTTAAAAAATATATATATATATTTATCCAAATTTTGCAGCAGAGTGCGCTGCTCTCTTGACAGAGCCAGCTCTGGTTTGTAATCCCACAGACTCGCCCACCAACCCACTTTTCTAATCATGCCTTGGCCTAGTGCTGGCTGTGTTGTTTTTAAGTTTTCATGTTCTAAACATTTCATATGTTCCACAATGCTAATGTTACTTTTTGTTAGTGTTTGTAATGTGTTCTGAATATGGTGGTTGATGTTGGTAATGGTCATTTTTGTACTGGTGTATAGTTTTAGCCATTAGTGACATTTCTGAAGCCAGTCATCCATGCTGGCAGATCACTGAAGTTCTGCGAGGTAACTCTCACACTTACTTACTCACCCCTGGGGATTGGAAATCAGCAATCTCAAGTAACTGCCATTGGACAATATGAATGATATGAATGAAATGATCACACAACTGTATAAATCACTGATAAGAAAATCTCTAATTTCACCATTGATGTAACAGTGAACTATACCTGGCATTAAACCAGTAAACCAGAGCGATGTTGTCGTTGTGTTGCAGGTATTGAGCTGAAGCATCTCTGCCTGGAGTACATGACACCCTGGCTGCTCAACCTGGTCCGCTTCTGTAAGCACAACGACGACGCCAAGCGTCAGCGCGTCACCGCCATTTTGGACAAGCTCATCACTATGACAATCAACGAAAAGCAGATGTATCCCTCTATCCAGGCAAAGATCTGGGGCAGCCTGGGCCAGGTGGGTCTACCACACCAGCAGCTTGATAGCAAAACGTGTTATTAATTTAACCTCTAACTTCCTCACTGTGTCTCCAGATAACAGACCTGTTGGATGTGGTGTTGGACAGCTTTATTAAGACCAGCGCCACAGGAGGCCTAGGCTCCATCAAAGCAGAGGTCATGGCTGATACAGCAGTGGCTCTGGCTTCAGGGAATGTCAAACTGGTCTCCAGCAAGGTGAGACTCTCCACTCTGAGCTAATACATGCTGGAATAATGTCTGCAGAGTTACCTGTGCTCAGAATGTTACTATGGATATATTTTGTTTATTGTTGATGCAATAACACTCTTTTCTTTGTTTCTCACCAGAGCAGTGCGTTTGTGAGCAAATACTAGAGCTATCATCCACTCATTTCATTTCATATCACTGCCGGTGTTGGGTCAGATTACTTTGTAATGTAGGCGGGGACTAAATGCAAATTAGATAACAGTTTTGTAATTTGTAATGCATTGGATTACAAAAGAAAATGTAAATGGCCAGAGCCGACGGCATTGGGCTTTCACAACGGTTCCTTATAAACCTATGGGTGATGTCACGGGGGGTACATCCATTTTTAATTATACAGTCTTTGGTTCAAACACAAAATCGTATCACTAAACAAAATATCGGAATACTCAAGTGTATTGACATTAGTCCTAGGTCTGACTTACTCTAGTTTGTACCTCCTGTGCCACTTTAGAGCTCTTGTAAGGCACTCAAAGCAGCTTGAGTTGAGACAGTGTATCGTTTGCCTTCTATTTTCATCCCAAACTGCAATAGAAAGCTCCATTTACATGTTCAAATGAATTCTACTGACTTGATATTACATTTATATTGAATAATACTTTTCCTTATGTGCTGCATTCCATAACAGATGATGAATGAATTTAACTGTTGTTAATAGTTTAGTTTCTGTACCAATTTGACACTGCTGTAAGAAAGAAGCATAGAATGTGATAATTACTTACTTACTAATGGAAAAATAAATCCAAAGCTGTATATCACTCCTCACTTAGAGTATCCAAAGAGACAAATTCATCCACTCACTATCCATCATCTGTGTGCTTTGTATCCTTATTCAGCCTCCTACTCCGATAAACAAACACAACATACACAGGCAGACACAATAGAAAAGCCAGGCCCTGGCTCCTATTATGGCACACAACAGCACTGCACTGAATAGTGGCCATTGTGAAGACTGTTGGCTAAGAAAAGACAGTCAGTGTTTAAGTTAAAGTGCTGCTCCCCTCATTGATTTTCTGTAGTTTAACCAAAGTGTTGAATTGAATTTAATATCAGGTTAACATGTGTAGGCTACATGGCTGTGGGAACATACATGAGTGTTTGTGCTGGTGTTGTCCATACGGTCGCTGTCTGATGTCATGGCAGGACAGTCTGCTGAGCACAATGGAGCCTTGTCTGCTGCTCTTGAACTCTTTGTCACCCAAGAGTTGAATAAATGCTATTTTCTAACTAGTTATAACCATAGCCATATTGTCATATGTATCGGCTCCATATCCAGGAAGACATGCACAGTGCTGGCCACTGTAGATTGCTTCATTACAGCCATGTTTGTCAGGAAGTCTGTGACATGTTCTTAAAGGTTTGGCACATTAGATTGATCAAAACATGATTAAAGTTCCACTACAACTGATGATAATTCATATGAGTGATACAGATTTTGGAGAATGAGCAGGTATAAGCGGAAGATAAACTAAAGCTTGCACTTGCAGTCTAGACACTGATTTGGGTTATTTTAGGTTGAATTTCAGTCATGGGTATGAAAGATTGAATGAGATGGCCTTGTTTAGCTTTTGCGGGCCCACAACCTGCTTTCATCAGCTTCGTTTCCACAGCAGCAAGTAGCTGTTTTCAGTGATGAACCTACTGTGCACTGCCTGCTCAGCACCAAATGTCAGACAGACAATAAGAGACTAGCTGGTGAACATAGTGAAGCCTTTAGCAGCCAAATGGGTTCTAATATTAATTTTCCCGTCATCATTTTAAGAATGACATGAAAATTTTGGTTTCTGTTTGTGACGTTTGAATGTTGGGCTCGTCTTGTTCTTTGCGGCAGGTTATTGGTCGGATGTGTAAGATCATAGACAAGACGTGCCTGTCGCCAACACCTACACTGGAGCAGCACTTGATGTGGGATGACATCGCCATCTTGGCCCGCTACATGCTCATGCTGTCTTTCAACAACTCCCTGGATGTTGCGGCCCACCTGCCCTACCTGTTCCATGTGGTGACCCTGCTGGTAGCCACCGGGCCGCTGTCCCTCAGGGCCTCCACCCACGGTTTGGTCATCAACATCATCCACTCCCTCTGCACCTGCTCGCAGCTCAACTTCAGTGGTAAGGACTTACTTCAGCTCTTTGATTAGGCCAGCACCACAGTGGAAGCAGAGACAGAAAATTTAAGTAAAATAAAATGTTTGTTGTTCTATTTCAGAGGAGACAAAGCAGGTTCTGAGGCTGAGTCTGACTGAGTTCTCCCTGCCCAAGTTCTACCTGCTGTTTGGCATCAGCAAAGTTAAGTCAGCCGCTGTCATTGCCTTCCGCTCCAGCTACAGAGACCGCTCCTTCTCACCGGGCTCCTACGAGAGGGAGACGTTTGCCCTGTCCTCCCTGGAGACAGTCACTGAGGCCTTACTGGAGATCATGGAGGTCAGCAGAGAAAATCAAGTCAACGGGACATCTGTTTTTCCACTCCTTCTCTGCCCACCAATGCATTTATTTCATATTATAAAACCCAGAGAGTTGGTAGATATGGCAGAAAATTGTAATAAACATATCTTTATTCTGCGAAAGCAATATATTCAATTTGTTAATTGAATATATTGTGGAAGATAAAAGTAGTTGTAAAAGAATGAATGCAACAAGCAATTCTTAAAGGTTTTATATATGAAGTTCACTTGCCAGGGGATGTCACACTAGAGCACTAGCATGAAAACAGTGGGACAGAAATAAAATAAAACTCAACTCAAACCGACTTAGTTAGTCTTTCCAACAATCACTGCAATGGCCGGGATGGAATTTTGGGGACAAATTCCTGGTCAAAGTATGTCCACTAAAAGTGCTTGTTTTTTTCCACTGACAGGCTTAGATTGTTATTCTCAGTGTCTGACAACATTATGGAAAGGATCCCTACAGAGATAGACCAACCAAAACAGCTGTAATATCACTATCACTCTCCACCAGACTCCATACACAATCATTTTACCTTGCGTAACATCGTAACTTCATAATTATTCAAATATTAATTTATTCAAAACTTGATTCAGCTTCAGAAACAAAATAAAATTCCCCAAAACCGTCTTTGTTAATCTTTCCACTGTTCCACCAACTCTGGTTTGGTGGAAATAAATGCACACGGAGCAGATGGAACGGCTATGTAAACAAACCATTAAGAGGCTGCGATAATAGTTGTTGCTGTATTCATGTTCTAAATCTCATATATAACCATTAATCTTTACTATCAATGTAAAACTGTTTATTAGCTAACTTTCTATGTGTGGGAGTTAACCAGCCAAATGGGCTGTCCACTGTTCTTGACCTGCAGCTGGTCTGCAACTCACTATGTTTCCTTCAGTTTGTTTTCTCTGTGTGGTCTTCCCTCCAGGCGTGTATGAGGGACATCCCAGCCTGCAAGTGGTTAGACCAGTGGACAGAGCTGGCACAGAAGTATGAACCTCTTCCATCTCATTTGAATGCATCTGCGTTAAGACCATGAATGTGCTCTGTGGAACCTATGTGTTTGTGTCTGGATTCTAGGTTTGCATTCCAATACAACCCATCCCTCCAGCCCAGAGCACTGGTGGTGTTTGGCTGCATCAGTAAGAGAGTGAGCCACGGCCAGATCAAGCAGATCATCCGAATCCTCAGCAAGGCCAGCCCACTGCTGAGCATAGACCGGGTGAGAGCACATTCATACAAGCCTCTACAAACCTGTGCTGTTAACCATAAACATGTTTCAGTTCAATTCAGTACCAACTTGATTGTTATCTGGAGATTTCCATTTCCTTGGCATGTGTATAGTCAAATTCTAGAGACCTTTAAGTACTTAAGCCAACTTTTTGCAACATGGACAACACATTTTTTCAATAAATAAATTAAATTCATAGACAACCTGTCAAATGGAAGGGAGACACCCTGTCTGACTTTGGTAAATTTAGAACACACCATGTGATTAGACCCTGTTGTATTATTTTTACATTGTTTGTCTGCAAGCATTCATGAACTAAGTTATATGATTACCAGTTGTTCCCCCAAAGGTCATAATTTTAAAAAGCACAATCTGGATGAAGTGTACATCATTAATATTGTGAAATGTGAAACAGATGATATTGGGCATGGTATTAGGCTTGTTTTTAATCAATTTTCATTATTTTAAACAAAAGCTTTCTTCAAGTGATTTTAATTAATGTTAAGATACATTTAGTATCGATTGTATTGAGGTTTGCAACAGTAAATCAGTAGTTTTTCACTGATGAATATTTATTTATATAATGTTTCCTTGTCTCTGCCTCATGCTCCTCTTCCTCTTCTCACTTCCCTCCTCATCACAGGGCCTGGAGAGCTGTCTGAAGGGGCCAGACAACTACAACAGCCAAGTACTAATAGAGGCCACAGTTATTGCTCTGACCAAGCTGCAGCCTCTACTTAGCAAGGTACACAGCCATTGTAGATCCACCTCTAGCCACAGCCAAATGAAAAATGAATTAGAAAGGACCATACAGAGTCCAGACTATCAAGTCATCTCCATTGACACTTTAGGCCACACTAAGTCAAACCATTCCACAGAGATTTGTATTTATATGCTATATATGTAGCCATTTCCACTTTCTGTAGCAACTTTACAGGTGTAGTTGGTGAGCAGGAGAAAAGTACCAGTCTTCATATCTGGTCTTGGATTCTTATTTACAGTTATCCAAAGTGGAATATCAATGCTAAGCTAAAGTACTGAAATACGTTAGTTCTAAATTAATAGTCAGCAGTTCAGTAGTTATTCTCCACTCATCCCTTCATTGTCATATTTAGAATTAGATTTTTATTTATGTTGTTGACAAGCCCACCCTGTGTCTGTCTGCAGGAGTCTCCCATGCACAAAGCTCTGTTCTGGGTGGCGGTGGCTGTGCTGCAGCTGGATGAAGTAAACCTTTACTCAGCTGGAACCGCTCTGCTGGAGCAGAACCTCCACACTCTGGACACAATGCGCGTCTTCAATGACAAGGTAAAAGACACACTACGCAAGCCAGAAAACAGAAGGTCTCCTCTGATCTTCCATTCCCAAAGTTTAATGCTGTGTGAACTAAAAGCCAACACACTTCTTAACACACTCTTATTTAGGGTGGGCAGGCTGCACTAAGAGGTGTTAAGGATACATGTTACAGTGTATTTTAAAAAGTAGCTTCACGCTAAATCCATACACAGTCTCTTTCTTACACTGTCATTTGAGTCTGATCCCACTCTATTGTGTTCATTGCAATGGTATGTTTGACTTTTTTCTAGAGAAAGTAATGCAATCCTGCATTGGAGAGCAGCTCAACATAACTACTTCTTTGATGTTAAATAACTTTACATAAACTGAAGGTGTTACTCTTCGCCAGCTGGCAAATTAAATGCATTGGATTGTGTGCAGTGGTCATCATTCACTGTTTATTGGCGAGTGTTGTGAAGGAAAAGCATCACAACGTCCGAGATCCTCATCCATCGTCCTTCATGCTGTGCTGAAAACACGTATATGACTGACCTCACAGAGACACTTTGCTTTTTTTCTTGTTGACAACTAGTCAAGGACCCTGTCTACACGTATATGTACACAATGCAATGAAGTTAAAGCCAGGGTCCAACCTGAGCCTGGGCTATAAAAACAAATTGAATTTTTGACAGGCTTGCAGACCTCTACTGCACAGCAGACCTTAACAAATTGATACAAATTCTATAATGTTGCATGCCATGCCCCCATGATTGCAGATGTGTATTTATAGTAAAAGAAAATGCAAAGCCCCTTTTAACACTAACTAAGCACTGACTTATCTTGAAGAGGCCAACTATGTGCAAAAAAGTGGGTTGTGTCTCTGACAGTGAATGTTTTTAAAATTACGAAATGACCTGAGACGGCTTCCTCATCCCACTCTCAATATGTTCCTCCAGAGTCCAGAAGAGGTGTTCATGGAGATCCGGCGGCCTTTAGAGTGGCACTGTAAGCAGATGGATCACTTTGTGGGCCTCAACTTCAGTGCCAACTTCAACTTTGCACTGGTGGGCCACCTACTCAAAGGTAAAGCAGCCACTGATAGGCAGAGTGTGGGCTCTGTGGTATCAGTGGGGTACATGTTCAAATATGTAGAGAACACACAATGATCAGTGAAGAGTAAAAACAAAGATGAATTTGATGTCAGTGTGATTAAAAGTATGCACATAGTTCAGTTCAGCTGCAGGGTTTCAGGAAGGAAGTCCGAGGCAGAATAACGGCGAGCAGAAGTACTGTATGTGCCAAAGACATCTGGATCAGTGTCTTGTCTTATGTCTCTGCTTGCATCACCAGGCTACAGACACCCATCACCCACCACAGTAGCGAGGACAGTGAGAATCCTGCACACACTGTTGGCTCTCATCAGCAAGCATCTGAAATGTGACAAGTTTGAGGTCAACACCCATAGTGTGGCCTATCTGGCTGGTACGTAACACACTCAGCGGCATTTCATGGATCCTCTTTTATACATTTCACCACTACACTACTCTTGCCCGTTGCACCATGGGAAATAACTACCATTTGCTAAACATTTTTGCCAGTATGGATATGAAATAGGTCTTAAATTACATTCATAAAGGTCTTACATTTTTTTTTTAATTTAACCTGTATTGTGTTACTGAAGAAATGAGATTGAACTTGATTAACTGTATATTGGTATGCAAAACATCTTAGGACATATTTTCTGTCTTGTATAACTACTTCTGGAAAAATAGGGGAATACATTTGAAAAATAGTTAGTATTATATTTACCAACACCTACTTAGTAGCCAGTATTCAGTTGTTTGTTTCTAGTTGAGGACCTTTACTTAAAGCTGCAGTAGCTCATTTTTATAAAAATATTTTTTTGTCATATTTGAAAGTTGATTGTTGACTCTTACTACCAGGGTATCTGTATTTGCTGCCTTGGGAATGATGATGATGCCCTGATTGGTTGTTTTCGATCTTGTAAAGGAGCAGTAGGAGGAGCCAGAGGAACCTGATTGTTTCAGAGATTGCCTGTCTCATGTACTACTGTCTGGTTATAGTGAAAGTTTCAAGAAATGTGACAAAAAAAAGCTCTGCAGCTCTGACAAATATTGAGCAAGTGTACAAACCATTACGTGTTCTTGGTTATGGTGATTCAGTTGGTTTGGATCTGCCTTTTTGACGTTGATGACCTCCATCCCTTGTTGTTTTGTGCAGCACTACTCACTGTATCCGAGGAGGTCCGAAGTCGCTGCAGCCTCAAACACAGGAAGTCACTACTGATTTCTGACCTCTCCATGGACCCGGTACCCATGGACACTTATTCCAGTCACATCACTGATCCCAGCTGCAGGTGATAAACAGACGATGAAGTTGTCCAATCAGTCCACAACAAAATAAGCAGACTAGTTGAGATTCAGTCCAATGAGCATGCTCACTTTAAGAAGCAGACCTGTTTTCTTTTATCACAACAAAATGCAAGCTCATTTTGCTTTCTATGGCTCCTTAACAAGAATTTGGCACTGGAATTTTGCTTTCTTAAGTTCTAATAAAAGGTAGTTCAGAGGTACTTTGTTGTGTATTATCCTTTGTCCACGTTTTAAATTAGTCATCAAGTTGTCTGCTGACGTCTGTTCACTTTCCTCTCAGAACTCTACGAGAGACTCAGCCGTGGACATCACCTCAGGTTTCAGAGCGCTACCTTTCAGCCCATCACTACCCCACGGTGGGCCAGATCAGCCCTCGAACACGAAAGTCCATGAGCCTGGACATGGGTCAGCCCTCACAGGCCAACACCAAGAAGCTCCTGGGTATGAGTTATCCCTTTGCTACGTGCAGCACATGTTGATCTTCCCTTGGGAGAAGCATTCATAAATAGAATCCCTATTTGTTGTTTCTGCCAGGCACCCGGAAGAGCTTTGATCACCTCATATCAGACTCTAAAGCACCAAAGAGACCAGAGATGGAGTCGGGTATGACCACCCCTCCCAAGATGAGGCGGGTAGCAGAGAATGACTACGAGATAGGTGAGAGCCTGACCCTCGCGTTCCTTTCTAAGTCTAATTTGAAGCAGTCTGTTTGAGGAGGTATTTAATGTAAATCCTCAATGCTCTAATTACAGAGACACAAAGAAACTCGCACCTTCGCAAGGTGTCTGTATCAGAGTCCAATGTTCTACTAGATGAGGAGGTGCTGACTGACCCAAAGATCCAGGCTCTGCTGCTCACTGTGCTGGTGAGGAAACACACCACACAGTCTTCAGTTCACTCCAGTAGAACATGACAGATAGTCTTCGGATTTACTTACTTCTTAAATGACTGTTTTGATTCTGATTTTCCAGGCCACCCAGGTGAAATACACCACTGATGACTTTGACCAGCGAATTCTGTACGAGTACTTGGCTGAAGCTAGCGTTGTCTTCCCAAAGGTTTTTCCAGTTGTGTAAGTAGCCATCATACTGCCGTTCTCTCGGTTAGGATGTATTCTGTGCTATAGGACTTTTTCCATATGTTTCTTGTCCAACTGGAAAAATTTGCAGTTCTTTTTATAGTCTAATGTAGGGATTGTCACAGGTACACTCGATTCCTTGTAACTGATTAGATTAGATTAGATTAGATTAGATAGATACTTTATTCATCCCCAAGGGGAAATTCACAGTTTCCAGCAGTATCCATAGACTGATAATAATAACAATAACAATAATAACAACAACAACAGGAGGTCAAATGCAAAAGAACTAATAAAATTGAATAAATAGCAAAACAATGCGCATGGGGCTAGTGTCCTAAGGTGCATGGTCAAATCCAGTGCTTGAAAGGCCTAAGGTGCATAAGTAGGTGGTCACATAATGCAGAGTGCACTGCGTCAGGTGGTACAGTTTGATACAGGACAGACATATTGGCGTTTAGAGTTTGATGGTTTTTCTCCCCTGGGTGGAGTTGAAGAGCCTGATGGCGTGGGGGAGGAACGATCTCCTCAGTCTTTCAGTGGAACAGGACAGTGACAGCAGCCTGTCTCTGAAGCTGCTCCTCTGCCTGTAGATGGTGCTGTGCAGTGGATGGAGTGGATTGTCCATGATTGACAGGAGCCTGTTCAGCGCCCTTTGCTCTGCCACAGATGTCAGTCTGTCCAGCTCTGTGCCCAACACAGAGCCCGCCTTCCTCACCAGTTTGTCCAGATGGGAGGCATCCTTCTTCTTAATGCTGCCTCCCCAGCACACTACTGCATAGAAGAGGGCGCTCGCCACAACAGTCTGATAGAACACCTGCAGCAGTTTTTTGCAGATGTTGAAGGACGCCAGCCTTCTGAGGAAGTATAATCGGCTGTGACCTCTTCTGCACAGGGCATCTGTGTTGGCAGTCCAGTCCAGCCTATCATCCAGGTGTACTCCCAGGTATTTGTAAGTCTGTATCAACTCCACATGGTCACTGTTGATGGTCACAGGTTCCGGGTGAGCCCTGGGCCTTCTGAGGTCCACCACCATCTCCTTGGTCTTGGTGGTGTTGAGGTGCAGGTGGTTGGAGTCACACCATGTGACAAAGTCCTGGCTGAGTTTCCTGTACTCCTCCTCTTGGTCACTCCTGATACAGCCCACAATAGCCGTGTCGTCCGCGAACTTTTGCACGTGACAGGACTCTGAGTTATATTTGAAGTCCAACGTGTACAGGATGAACAGGACCAGAGAGAGCACTGTCCCTTGCGGTGCTCCAATGCTTCTGACCACAGTGTCAGACCTGCATTCCCTCAGTCGCACATACTGGGGTCTGTCTGTTAGGTAGTCCATTATCCATGCCACCAGATGTGAGTCTACTCCCATGTCTGCTAGTTTGTATTGCAGAAGTCGAGGCTGGATGGTATTGAAGGCGCTGGAAAAGTGCAGAAATGTAATTCTCACAGTACCGTTTCCCCTACCCAGGTGAGAAAGGGATCTGTGCAGCAAGTACACAATGGCATCCTCTACTCCCACCTTCTCCTGGTAGGCAAACTGCAGTGGGTCAAGGGCGTGGCAGACCTGTGGCTGGTGTAGCAGCAGCCGTTCCATGGTCTTCATCACATGTGATGTCAGGGCGACCGGTCTGAAGTCATTTAGCTCACCAGGATGTGGTCTCTTTGGGATTGGGATGATGCAGGATGTCTTCCACTGTCTAGGGACCCTCCCCTGTTCCAAGCTCAGGTTGAAGATGTGCTGTAGGGGGAGTCCCAGCTCCAACGCACTGGCCTTCAGAAGTCAAGGGGATAAGATAAGATATTCCTTTATTTGTCCCACAATGGGGAAATTCCAATGTTACAGCAGCAAAGTGGATAGAGAAAAAAAAAACTGTATAAAAAGAGTAAGAGTAGGAAATAATAAATGAAAACACTGTACAAAAGAAAAAACAGTAAGAAATCCACAACAACAGATAAAACAAATAGTAGTAGCAGCAGCAGTGTTTGCACATGGGCAATAGATTGCACAGTGAATATGGAATGGTATTGCACAGTAATTACCTCCTCAGCTCTCCACACACCTGGGCTGCTGTAATAGTGGGTGTGACAACCAGCTCCTCTGTGGCTCCTGAGGGGAGCGAGAGAGAGACAGCAGCAGAAGGGGGTATGGTGACCTGAGGTGTTAACGGGATGGGGTGGTCGAACCTACTGAAGAACTGGTTCATCAGGTTTGCCCTCTCCGTATCTCCCTCCATGTGGGTCAGCTTTGAGCTGCAGCCGGTGATGGTCTTCATCCCATCCCACACCTCCTTCATGCTGTTGTTCTGCAGTTTCTGCTCCAGCTTCCTTTTGTACTGCTCCTTCGCTTCCCTGAGCTGGACTCTGAATTTCCTCTTAACACGTCTAAGCTCCTGCTGATCTCCGTCTTTAAAGGACCTCTTCTTCTGGTTAAGAAGGCCCTTGACATGACTTGTAATCCAGGGCTTGTTGTTTGCATAGCAGCGCACAGTTCTTACAATACAACAACATCCATACATACAGTCCAGTCAACAGCCTCCTCGGTGTCCTCACAGTGCGAACCCTGCAGTACATCCCAGTCCGTACTACCACAGCAGTCTCTTAGAGCCTGCTCTGCTTCAAAAGACCACTTCCTGAATGAGCGCATTGTTGTGGGTTGTCTCCTCACTCTTGGTTTGTAGTGAGGCTGAAGCAGAATCAGGTTGTGATCAGCTTTCCCCAGTGCAGGCAGAGGGGTGGCGCTGTATGCGTCCTTAAAGGAGCATTTCACCCGTGGAAACATTAATATTTATTGAAAGTGGGTTATATATGTAGTTGAAATGTAACATACATTTTGAATTTGGTGCCTATTTGACCGAGAAAAGACAGAAAGTGACTTTAGGGCGCATTTGTATTAAAGACAACAACTCCCACAATGCACAGCTCCGCAAGCCACTCCCACTAACACTATCAAGGACTACAACAACGTGAATGTAAACCATTTATTTACAGAAATATATGAACAACAACAAAAATAAATATGTTAACAATGACAGTTATAGTTCCTCCTGAGCGTCCTCAACTTCTTGGTGCCGCAGTACTGGCCATCTGGAGCTGCAAATAACAAAAAAGAGTAAAATGTGGCTCATAATTTGTGATGTTGTGGAGCTAGTGATGAGAAGGGAAAGAGTTTTTTGCTTTGTGTCACTCGTCTGAAGTAAAATGTGCTGTGTCTGTTGAATTCTTCCAGAAGAATGCTGGAGTGAATGTGAACGTCAGCCATGTTTAATAGCTTGAAAAAAGTCTTGATTTCCACAAAGTACATAGAAAATTAGTCCAACTTAAGATCAGCCTCTATAAAGAGATATCTGTAGGCAAGATACAAGATTTTGCTGTTCTGGTTTCCATTTGTAGTCCGAATAGTATTGACCAATCATGTTTGAGCAAGCTTTGGTCATTCCGTGTGGAGAGCCAAAGAGGCAAACACATTGGCTGAAAAGGAATCTCGGAACTGATTGTCTGATTCAGCTTTTTACCACCTTTTTTTTAATCATTTATTTATCTGCATTCATATCTGTTTGTAGAGATTAGCCAAAATGTAACAAAAATCTGAAATAATCAACTCCAACTCTATTCTCGCGTCTCAAGTTGCTAATTGGACTGTAAACGATGACTGCCGCACTAAAGACGAAGTCTTGGTCCCTGTATCTGTTATCCAGATATCTGCCGGCTACACCAGAAGCCCTGAGACGTTGGCTGTTGCCCTCAGAGGCTAAATTGCCATCAGATGATAGCCGATGTGTTAAGATAGTGAAGATCTAGACCACTTTGTGCAACAGTTGAATTTAAATAACCTATCACCGTTAATTGGATCAAAGCCATAAACAAAAACTGTCTTTGTGAAACTGAAAACTTATTGTGTTTTGTTTGTTTTGAAAATAAATTTGTGCATGAGTTGAGTTTGGTCCATGGGTTTGCTCCTCTGTCTGTCTCTAGTCTAGTGCAGATGTAAAGGCTTTAGAGAGTAAATGGCAAATAACGGAGCTGCTGCTGAAAAGGTGACACAAGGAGACATTGTGTCAAACTTTTGAGTGTCAGTGTGAGACAGAGAGATTGTAGAGCCAGATATAAACCTACTTTATGTACCTCGCTGTGGTATTCAAAGATCCCTGTGGGTTCTCAGGTTGCTGCATCAACTGTAGATATCAAAGTATAAAAATACCTGTGCTGTTACATTAGGTAGTAAGTCTGATTTAGTCACAGTTGCAGCTGTCAGCCAGTTTTCATGCAGACTTAACAACAGCTGTTTGTGTGTGTGTCTCCACTGCAGTCACAACCTGCTGGATTCCAAGATCAACACTGTGCTGTCCATGTGCCAGGACACCAACCTCCTGAACCCTGTCCACGGCATCGTCCAGAGTGTGGTGTATCATGAAGAGTCACCCCCGCAGTACCAACCCTCCTATTTACAAAGTAATACACGCTGGCATTTGCAAATTCTTTATAGGCCAAGTATGTTAAGTCCACTGCTCGTACAGTCGGGACATAACTTGTTGTCTCTCCTAAAGCTTGGACAGTTAAGTGGATAAGAGCTCTGTGCTTCTGTTGTAAGCATTTTCACCCTGACTCCCCTGTCTTCCATCTCACCTTCCCTCCTCCCTTCCTCACTTTCATTTCACAGGCTTTGGCTTTAATGGACTTTGGAGGTTTGCCGGACCCTTCTCCAAGGTACGAATGATTCTTTCCTCCTGTCATTTTTTCATTTTCTCTGAGCCCCCTTGGCTGCTACGCAGGAAATATTCAGCTTACTAGGCAATTACACGACAGTTCTGCAACCAGCCTGCCAATTGGTACCGTGATATATGAAGCATGTGACTGACACACACACACACACACACACACACACACACACACACACACACACACACACACACACACAGACAGCAGTATCCGAGAGGCTGCAGATAATTTCAAGTCAAGTTTTCTGTTGATACTGAATCTAGTAGCTGCTCAACACATTGTGTGACCCATGTGTATGTAACAGGTGGATGAATAAATAATGTATTTTTTGAATACAATTGAATTGAAGCACATTGAGCTAGACCCAACATGTGACACCATTCATTACATAAGTTACAGCCAGACTCTTCATCCCACTCTTTATCTCTTCATGAGTTAGTATTTCTAAGGTAAGATGCTGTGAAGCATGTAGACAAAAGTTGTTGACATCATTTGTATTATTTATGATAGTATTACACTATATACATCAGGGCTATTCAGTGACACAAGTTAAATAAAAACATTAATTTAGGCCTAATTGGGCTATTATAATATTTTCACTTTCTTACAAAAATCAGTGTGAACAGACTAAAAAAACGTGGAAATCCATAATGATAAGTAGATACTGAACTATAGAATGCTCTCAGACCTCCAACAAGGAGGCAGCTCAGATTTGATGTTTCAAATCTCTAACTGCAGGCATGAAATATTATCAACTTTAATCGGTTTTGGAGCTATTATGCAGTTGCACTGTTATTGTGCATGTGTCAACTGTAGTTAAATGTGGTTTAATCCTACAGGTCACAGAATTCTAGGGGCAGCTACTTAATAATGCCTTTCTCCGGGTACACAATTTGTAATACTGTAAATATAAATACTGCAGTACTTTCATTAGTGCCCATTCTGCGCGCTGGATGGGAAGCTTTGGTGAGCCTGATGTGGTCCACAGTTCCAGATAAGGTGTTTATGTGTTACAGTGGTTCTACATGAACCATTGGGTTACACATCTGATCATCAGCAATGTTAACACAGTCTACATTGTTGTTATTGTTGCTGGGCTCTACCAATCAGTCTAACATGCATGTTTCATCTTCTCTGTCCTCCCCCCACACACACACACACCTGCTAACCATGCAGCAAACACAGATCCCGGACTACGCCGAGCTGATCGTCAAGTTTCTGGAGGCGTTGATTGATAGCTACCTACCGGCAGCTGACGAGGAGCGAGGGGAGGAGCAGCTGAGGACACCCACCTCCCCCTACCCCCCCACCAGCCAGAGCCAGCTCAGCATCACTGCCAACCTCAACCTGTCCAACTCCATGACCTCACTGGCCACCTCGCAGCATTCGCCAGGTCTCTCTCTTACACACACACACACACACACACACACACACACACACACACACACACACACACACACACACACACACACACACACTAGTGTTACTGTATTCACACACATTGACATAATGCATTGGTGTCCAGCATTTTGGTCCCCACAAAGCTGTTAGGATCCACAAGTACAGCGGGCTCCAAGTTTTTGGACCCCATACATTTAGTAAAACAAGCCCATACACGCACAGACATACAAGCTCCTCCCATGTTTTCTGTCCCTGTTAACACTTTTGACTCAAGTCTACAAATGCAACAAGAAAGGAAGTCAGCTGCTTATCCAACAGCATCCCCTGTTGTTTTATAAATTACACATCAGATGATTTAAATTACCTACAATGTGTCTGTTTGTCTTATTGGATGTCAGTAGACAATCAGTATTTCAGTGCAATGTTAAAATAAAGTTAAATAAGAATTTCTAATAATTTAATTACTTAAATTATTATTAAAAGTGTTTGCAGTATAAACTCTTCTTCATCCTCAGCTGCTTGAAGGAACTGCTACAGTCAACAGACATACAGACCGACAGACCCAACATCAGTTGGCTACCTGTACTGTTTAAGAATGTAACTGACCATTGACAGTGTACAATTAGTTGACTGAGTTTCCAACAGCCAGTTTTCTGATGTCCAGAAGGAAAAACTTCTTGTTAGTGATAGTACTGAGTCTTATGGAGAAATGAGCCTACTTGGTAAATGGACCTGTACTTGTATAGCGCCTTTCCCACTCAAAGCTCTTTTACACTACATTCTTTTACACTACATACTACACTCAGTGATGGCAAAGTCCATCGAACAGAAACTAACACATTCGTGTGTTCGACGTGTGGCGGGAGGAGCCGGGGATCAAACCAACAACCTTCTGATTAGAGGACGATCTCTGAGCCACAGCCACCCGCCACTTGGTAGATGGACTGTACTTATATAGCGCCTTTCTAGTCTTTCAACCACTCCGTGCGCTGTACACTACATGCCACACTCACCCCATTCACACACATTCATACAGTGATGGCAGTGGCTGCCATGCAAGGTGCCAACTGTTCACTAGAACAGAAACTAATCATTAACACACACTCACACACAGATGCGCATTATCAGGAGCAATTTGGGGTTCAGTGTCTTGCTCAAGGACACTTCGACATGCAGCGAGAGGAGCCGGGGGTCGAACCGCCAACCTTCCGATTGGTGGATGCCCCGCTCTGCCTCTGAACCACAGCCGCCTACTTCTCACTATTAGCTAGTCTTCTTCCATATAGCATAATGTTCATTTAGTAAATATGGTCCGTCCAGCTCAACACACCAGACTCGGATCAAACTTTCAGACTGGGCAGTGCTGATCAAATATGAAGATTCTGTTCATTGACCATTTCTCTCCTAAAATATTTTATGAGAACTTGTGTGACCAGGCGAGCCACCATTGTTTCCTGCTACAGACGGGTTGAAACCAAGAGCAGCCAAGGAGAGCAGCTCAACTCGCAGTACAGTACTCTACAAACCAATGGGTGACATCATAATAGGTTCACACTTGCTTGTGACCTCCAGGTCCACTTTCCCACCAGTTGAGATAGATATGCTTTTATGTATGTATGCTTTTAACATAGTGTGTTTTGTGTCCTCCCTATGCTACTCCAGGTGTGGACAAGGAGAACGTCCAGCTGTCCCCCAGCTCTGCTCTGTCCAATGCGGGTCGCACTCGCCACGGATCAGCCAGTCAGGTCCAGAAGCAGCGCAGCGCCGGTAGCTTCAAGAGACCCAGCATCAAGAAGATCGTCTGATCAGCCAGAGAAAACCCACCCTCCTCCTCCTCCTCCTCTCTGCTCCTCCCCCAGCCTGCCAGGCCTCATGCTGCACTCCACTTTTTACTCTTTTTATTTCCTCCTCCTTCTTCATGGTTTTCGCTCTGGCAGGAGAACGAGTGATTTTGTGTGGAGGAGGAATATTAGCGTGGACAAACTTGAATTCTGAGCTGCTTGAGATTTCTTTCATTAGAGACAGCGGGCAGTGGAGGAGAAGCTTCTGTCCAATCCTTTCTGTTCTCCACTGGATTCAGTGTTTAAGCTCTTCATCACAGATGTTCAGCAGCGGTTTGAGTCAGCAACGGACGTCACACAATAAACAATTGAAAAGAAAAAATCCCTCTGGTGCTGATGGGAATACAGTTTGGACTGTGACAGATTACACAGGGAGGAACCAGAAACTGAAGTTCAGTCTTAATGCTGATGTCCCTTGGCCTTCCTCATGACGAAACACTCCAGTGTCAGCCAGATGGACCAAATAACAGCAGCAGCGGAGCTGGTGGACCCGCTCGGACATCTCAGCGCCCCTGTACATATTTTACATAGACAGATAATGTATAACTAGTCCTTAGTGCTAATTTAGATGTTGACGTTTTCTCCATGGTGTGCCTTTGTCAGGGTTTTTCAATGTGTACAATTTGTAAAGTAAAAGTCAAACCTTGCTGGGGACAAAGAACAGGTACTAATTATGGAGGCAAGCCGTCCATATTACCAAGAGTTCACACGAGCTGCCTCAAGACCGGCCTCCAATGATCGTCAAATATACAATCATCCATATACCCTGTTGCCTGAAAGTATTTATCCTGTACAGCTAGATAGTGCAACACAAATCTTTTTCTTTTCAAACACTTTCCAAAAATCTTCTCTTCAAACACTTTCAATCTATCAACATAAAGAGTGCAAAACACTAGGGGAAACGCAACTGTGTAAATAGCTCCAAGCTCTTTTTGTTTGCTTGTTTTTTGTGTTTTTATTTAGCTCTGTTTGTGAATTATTTTTAGTATGAACTGCAGCGTTTTAATTTGTTTACAGAGTGACAAGGAAAAACTGTGTAATAGGCAATAATCCTCAACTCTCAAACTCCTTCGTCAACCACCAATTTTATTTGTACAGCGAACAGGGAGAACACATCGCTATGTCAGCTCGGTGCAATATGATGCCAACTCCTGAGTTGCCTGTTAACATAGAGATTTAGCTCTCATTGATTACCTCCAACGACCATTTGAATTGAAAAAGAGGCAGTGGACAGTGTGATGTTTGATCCTATCACGCACACACACACACACACACACACACACACACACACACACAGACACACACACACCTCCATCTGTTTCACCTCAGCAGTCTGAGCTGGACCCGCTACCATCAGAGGTTTGTCCTGTGGGCTCTTTAAAGGGAAAATCCACCTTAAAAGAAGCTGTAACACTGTTGGGGCTGTATACCATATTTACAGTGGAGACAATACCGTTTAGTTCATATTAAGACCTTTTTTGCAGCATAAAAACTACAAAAATGTGTTAGTATTTAACAACACACTAGTGGTGGTGAGTGGTTTCGGTCACTGCATCAGATCAAAAGTCACAGCATTGAGACTGAGATTGTGCTTAAAAGCAAACCTTGTCTTTTCAAAGTAAGTTCCAAAGACACTAATGAACTGTCACACTTTAAAGACCAGTGTGTGGGATCTAGTGGCATCTAAAAATACGAAAGGTGGCAGTTTAACATGGTGGACTAAATGGAAGGCGACCTGTGGAATCTGTGATTATAAAAGGCTCATTCTAAGGTAATGAAAATATAGCAATTCCTATATTCAGGTGATTATACACTAATGAAAATATACCTATGAATATTATGCTATAATTATGTTATATAATGTTGTGACAGTAGATCCTCCTAGATGTTACACACTGGACCTTTAAAACACTTAAAATAATCCAAACTTCTCAAAAATGGACATCCAAAGTATAAAGTCCGCCTTAAATAAACTAAACTCTGACCAAACATACGGTGCCAATTGTCAGTACTTGAGCTTTTACTACTTATTGCCACAGACGCAGTTCAGTCTGAGCTCCATACTCAGCTCTTATTCCAACACAGCACCTTTTGGTTCAGGGTTTTTCAGTATGTCTGCAATGATATGGTGAAATATTTGGAAATGTTTTGTAGATCTAAACGTAAATGGTAAACATCTGGTTTTGGTCTCAGTCCCTCGGCATCAAACACTGATTCCAGAACTCTTCACCGCTGATCCAGCTGACAGAGATTGAGGACAGTCTTTAGTGGAAGATGGCGGCTTTTTCCTTTTTAAGAGCTTCAGTAATAATTCAGGTTATTATTGATGCAGAGGCCAGCTCTGTCATTTTAAACCAACCCTCTGTATCAGCAGATCTTCTGCAGCAAACACCTTTTCTGCATGGCACAAGGTGGAGAATGCTCATTTACTATAAATCACATCAACTGTACATCACTGCTGACTGTTTTCCAAAGCATGCTGTGCATCTCTAAGCTTTCAGGCAGCCGTTGGTTTCAGTTTATTTCACAAAATCAACTTAAGACAGCTGAAACTTGCTTGAGGCAACTAATCTGCCACAGCAAACATCATGTCTGTTGTCAGTGTTGCTTGTGGTAATACAGTGCACACTGATAAAACCATCTGCACAAGAACCCAATTCATATTTGCATGACCGAAACTATTGGCCAATCTTGGCTCATCACAGATGTGTCAGTATCTGTGTGTATGTTAGCAGAGAAATGTCAAAGATGTGTAAACAGAGTTTATTTTTACTGTAAAATGTTCCAGTCACTAATCATTTCAGGCAGTATTGGTCTCACAAATCCAGTATATCGGTTAGGGTTTAAAGCTGCAGTAGGTAACATTTTGTCGTATTTGCTAAAGTTTTGACAGGAGGACCTGAGACAGATAATGTATGAAAAAATCTGATTCCTCTGGCCCCTCAGGAACCAGATTTTTTCACAATTATCTGTTAGGATATAGTGAATAAAATTAAATAAAAATACTGCAGTTTTAATCTGCGTTAGCCTTTGACAATTAAAGCAGTAATGTTGGTCATTGTGATGGATTACAGTTGATTTGGATGTTTATACTGAAATGAATGGGAACCAATGGCTTCCTGGAGAGTAGAAAGACACTGACTAAAACACTATTTCCACACACTTGTGGAAATGGTCACATGATTTGTAGTAAATAGGTTTAAACATACAGCCACTGTGGTCTGGGCCCGTACAGCAGCCGTGTAGACTTGTTGCTTGGGTTGTTTGGTTGACTTCGCTGATCCACTCGCAGCCTCCGTCCACAGCTCAGCAGGGTAAGTCCGTAACGCTTCTATCCTGCCTTAACATCTATGCATGGCAAGAGTTGAGTATTGTTGTACAACTCTGACTTTTTTTATCTGAGCAGCGTCTCCAACATGTCTGTCACTCTCTGTTTCCTACCATTGTACGTGTTCGTGTTACCTTATGGATACATTTGTGAATCAGTTCACTGCTGATTTTTTTCTTGTATTGTAGTTGTCTGAGGGGATGTCATTTTCTTCTGTCCATGCAGCTCGTTCAGTAAACAGGTGATCACCAGATAAATTCCATGAAAAGGGACGTTTTCATTAGAGACAGCCTCAGTAACAGTATTTTGTAATTCAGCCTCAAAGAACGACTTAAAGGGAAGACAAACCATGAAATCATTTTTCCACTGCTGGAGAGTCAGAACATTGTTTTGGGTTTAAGAAAGTTGACATGAAGGATGATTGACACCCCCAGGTTAGTATGCTTGAAACAAACCGGTTCATACAATGCAATGTCTGAACACTTCTGAAGGCAAAAATGTTAATACTCGTTCCGTCACAAATCCTGCTCATCACAGAGAGCTGATGACTCTTACAAATGGGCATAGCGGGCCTCAGTTCTCAACAGTCTCTCCTTGAATGTGTTTGTGATGTACATAAAACTGACAGAAGCTCCACACACCAGGCATGGGTTGCACCAACTGGTCTTTGGTAAGCTTGGGCCTAACCGCTAAGTCATTCCTCGTTAGGACCAGTCTGTAGAATGAACTTAAGCCTAGTCTGAACTACTTTCGGTCTGAGTGATGTGCATTCATGTAAATGCCTAGGCGTGCATTGCTGGGATAATTTGCCTCGTTAGCGGCTTATAAAAGTCAACTGGGCAGATCAGTGCAGCATACAGTTATTTCTTACTGAGTGACCTTCATTTCTTGCATTGCTTTTCCCAATTTTTTGTGGCGAAAAGGTATGTGTGACTGTAGAGGCTGTATATATCTGTAGCAATCAATCTTAAGCCCAGATGGTGACCGACATTACCATTAGGTTGGACTTAGACCTCCAAGTTACGACGACTTAAGAGCATTTAAGCTTAAGAGCAGGTGTAAGCCCTGTTGGTGTAACCCTGGACAATCGCTGCGTAAAGTGCGTGTGATGGCTTCAGAAAGTTACAAAAATGTTTCGGAAAGGTGTTTTCAGACTGTTAGATAGTCCAACAACTTTTTCCAACTTGGTTTAAAGCAGACTGGGGCCTTCAGTCACCAATGTTATTGAGCAAATAAATTAAACGTGTTAAAATCCTCTTTGATGTCAGGTTTTACAGACTGTGGTTTGATTTGAAGGACCACAATGAAGTGTAATTTAATGGAACATCTGCCCTCCTTCCCATGTAAATAGGTCTAACCCTAGTTTAGAGTCAAGCATGGAGTTGAATCACAATTAAGTTGTTAAAGTCACATTTTCTAATACAGTTATGGATTAGTACAGAGTGGCCACGAAGGTCCAGTTGGAAGGATTTTTGGATCTGGGCCAATGAGGCTATAAAGATGCGTGTTTATTCAGATTTCTGTGTCAGATTCCACAGAAATATTTCAACTCGTTCCATCGTCTCTGCTCACCACTTTTCACCATCGAATTGATCTTAAAGCTACACCTGCTGATTTTCTTCTCCCAAGTATCCACAAAACCTGAACTACAGAATCAGCGAGTATACCTTTTAACAAAACACAACCAGGAAAAATCTGAAGGCATATTTCTTTCAGCACCATGTTAGCAGATTGCCATCATTTCCAGGTTTTAGTTTGACTTGTGTGTGAATGGAAATATTAAGGATTATGTATCCATAACCTCTTAAACAAGTGGTTGACTTGCACTAATTTAAAAACAGTCATGGGTTTGTAAAGATGAAAAACCTCAAAATGTGGCATGTTTTATTTGATGTTATGCAAAATCTAATGTCTGTAGAGTAATAGTCTGAGTTTTGTTTTTAATGCAGTATGTGTGACAATTGTAAATACTTTGTGTACAATTTGAGATGGTATATTTACTACACTGTACATACATGTGATATTGTATCATTTTGTTTTTGTAAAGCAGTTAGTTTCTGTATAATAATATACAAATTGAACTATTCCAGTGTTAGTAATAAAATGTTTTGCTCTCCACAATGTTTGAATGCACACCAGCTTTAATTTTAGACACTTTATAATGTATGAATATGATTTTCCTTTTTTATTTAAATCATTGAGTATTTCATCAGTTATGTAAATACTGTTCCACAGTTAAACACTCAGCTAACTATATTAGCAACAAAGGCATACTCAAGCACTGAAGTAGTATTATCAAAGAGTAAGTGGTGAAGACTATTAATCACTGTTACTCCACTGCTGGAGGAGCTAACAGGTCCATACCACTTCCACTCTTTGGAAAGTCTCTGTCCACCAGCAGAAGCCCATGGTGAAGATGGTACTGACCACTGCAGACTTGCAGTCTTGCTTGACCCACCCCTTCAAAACAAACACAAATGCCCTATCTAGAGAAAGTGTTTGGTTTGTCCATTCTTTGCTACTGTAGAAACATGGCAAGGAAACTCCTCCAAGAAAGATTTGGCATTTGGCTTGGGCAAACAGAGTGGAAAGTTTGGCTAAAAGCATAAATACACTGTTATGTAAAGATCATCTTGTTCTTAATGCCTCCGTTAAACCTAATATGGAATGTACAGTCAGTGAAGATTCAAACAAATGATTATTTCGAACTGGACCTTGTGTGTTTTATGAACTGGGCTCAGATGATAACAGGCTGTGGCAATTGAGAGCATTTAACAGAACACAATCAGACTGTGCAGATAACTTTTCCTCATGAGCCCAAAGAGGAGATTCATCATCTGGATTATAAAGCCAATATAGAATGTTCTGAATATTACAGGTCCCACAGTATTGTGTGAAGTTCTCGAAGTATATATATTTTTAATACATATTTTTGGGAGCTGTAATACTTTCTTATAGTTTTTCTCAATTGCTAAAATACTAAAACCCATTGGCTGAACAAAGTTCGCAGTTGCCTGAACTCATTTAGCTAATTGTGCAGTCTGTTGTCAATACCTTAAACCATTTCACATGGTAAAACACAATTTGCAGATCTCACTTAGACTTTTCAGCAGAACTCTAAACACATTCTCATTCTCAAACACATTCTGCACTCTAATGCACATGTCATCCATACTGGTAAACACAAGTGGCAACAATCAAATACAAATAGAGAACACATGTCATTGATTAAACACAACCACTCAAAATTGATTTCACTTGTTTCAAATCATGTGACACAACCAATATAAGCCAGTTCAGAGAGCAAACAGGTTGTTGAAGGTGGGACGGAGAAAGTCTAAGAGTGGATGGAGGAAACAATGTGAGAGGACGAGGACGAGTGCGTATGCGAGGTGGGCGACGAGGAGGAAGAGGAGGACGAAGAGGAAGACAAAGAGTGGAAATATCTGATGAAATTCGAGCAACAGTCATTGACCATGTTCTTGTCCATGGACTGACAATGAGAGAAGCGACCCAGTTTGAGCCGATTTTCCACCATAGTTAGGACATTCAGAGAAGAGAACAGGTACAGTATACTACTGTATTTTTGTAATTGCAAATTTACTGTACGACACTATATGCAGCTGTTTCAATAGACATTTGTAAAGTTAATCACTGTGTATTGTACTGCATGAATATCTACTTTTTGTAGAATTGCAAGGCTGCCCCCTGCAGGTGGAAGGACAGCTATAGTCACTCGGGAGCAAGAGGCCGTTATAATTGGCATGGTCCTTCAAAATAATCTAATATGACTCAGAGAAATCCAGGAACAAGTGATACAAGACAACACGCACTTCCAGAGAATTGATAGAGTGAGCATTTCCACAATTGACCGTGTCCTCCAGCGTAACAGGATGCGAGTCAGGGATCTTAACTTACTTGACAGTATACAGAGTACCTTTTGAGCGCAACTCACCAAAGGTGAAAGAACTGCGAGCTCAGTATGTGCAAGTAAGTGTACATTCAGACACATTTACTGTAATCCAGATTGTCTACAGTACTGCCACATACTATGTGAATGACATTACTCTTCAGTACATACAATGTATGTGAATCAGAAGTGCATACAGTAGGTCTAATTGTACTCTACAGTATAGCACTGTCTCTGTACGACTTACAAAATTCTACATACAGTATATTGTATTTCTACACAGACAATATTTGACTTGGAATCCTTGGACCGACCCCATGAGTTCATCTTTGTCGATGAAGCGGGCTTCAATCTGACAAAGAGGAGAAGGAGAGGCCGAAACATGATTGGACAGCGGGCCATTGTTGATGTCCCTGGTCAACGAGGTGGCAATGTCACAATCTGTGCTGCTATCAGCAACCATGGTGTTCTGCATCACCATGTTACACTCGGGCCATATAACACCCAGCACCTTCTACGATTTCTTGCCAATCTAAGAGACATTTTATTTGAGCAGCAGGTTCAAGAGCAGCAGGGTCAAGAGCTAAATGAGAATCCCATTCCCACCTATTTGATAGTGTGGAACAATGTCAGTTTCCACCAAGCTGCTCAGGTAAGGGAATGGTTTAACATCAATGGGCAGTTTATGAACTTGTACCTCCCTCCATACTCACCTTTCCTCAATCCGATTGAGGAGTAAAGGAGGGAAAATATTGCTTGTGATGTCGACAAAGTGCTCTGGCCTGACCCAGCCCAAAGACAAGAAGCACATTGTGCTTTCCATTTGTTTACAGTACTGACTGCTCAATAGATTTTGACTGGTTGCAGGTTCATATCAACAAAGAACAAGAATTACAGTATCACAGAAACAAAGGACAAGTTTGTGAGATGCAGGGTACAGTACTGTAAAAATAGGGGTACAAGGAGGAGGAAGTTTTCTATTTTTTGGTGTATTGTTTACTGACTGCTTGATAGTGTATATCATTTTGATCGCTTTGTTTATGATTTGAGAGCAGTGTTTGGTCCATTTACCATTTGCTGGACATTGACCATCTCGACCAGAGCTACCAATGTGACCTGCTAAAGATAGAAGCCAACCAGACCAACACTGCACATCAGCCTCACATTTTCTAAGGAGACAAAATATCATCTTTTAAGGATTTAGGGATACAAATTAAATTTTTTTTTAAATAAATATGTTTGTATCCAGGTTTTCCTAGTGTTCCCCTATATTTGTAATTTTCCTCCTCTCTGTCTCCTCCTCCTTAGTCTATCTGTCAGCTGAATTACTTTCAAGATGCCCCTCCTGTTCTTTTTGTGCCTTTTTTTTCTTGTGCCTCATGTCCTGTGTCTCTAAAGTTTTTGTCCTGTGCTTCAAGATTCAGTGTCTCTGCCCTGCCATGTGTATGCCTGACAGTTATATTATTAATTAGAACTACCTAAAGGACCAGTGTGTAAGATTTAGTGGCATCTAGAGATGAAGTTGCAGACTGCAAGCAATTAAATGCCACTCCTGAAGTATTGATGCTTCATTTCTTCCCACCTCTGGGAATTATAGGTATAAGGTACACCAACCCAAAGGCATTAACTAAGAGCCTAATGCAAATATTCAAAACAGTTCTGCATCTGCTACAACTGCTACAGTGGTGCTGAGGCACACTGTCTGTTCTTGTCCTCCTCTGGCTTTTTAATGTGTCCACTGAAGTATCAGATGCACTGGAAGGTGCTCTGAGGACACCAGGTGGGCAGAGGTGGAATTACAGGTTTTACACAACAAGAGACATAAACACTCAAAGCTAGTGGAGATAGGGGACCAGTTCCGATATTTAGAATCATATTTTACTATTTCATTTCGTACAGGGCTGTGGGACTGTAAACATATCATACTATAGCAACACATACAGCATTACTTTAGTGTTGAAGTCTATAAGCAGGATATAGATATGAATATATACTCAATAATAGTCAGTCACAACAATGTAACAGTTTAATCTGTATGTAGAGACCATGTTTGTTGTTTAATGTATTTAGCTGGTATATCTGATAGATATTTTGTATACCTCTCACCTACATAAGCTTTGTTCAATATCTTGTTCACAAGATATGTCTTTATGTACACTTTCGCATTTAATGCTTTGAACAATGGCAAAATCTGGAACAACAACACACACACACACACACACACACTTTACCTTCGCAGGGGTATAGCAGTGTGTCTGAAGGCATGAAATGTCTTTGTTCAGGTTCAATTCAATTCAATTCAATTCAATACAATTTCATTTGTATAGTGCCAATTCATAACAGAGGTTATCTCAGGACACTTTTCAAATAGAGCAGGTCTAGACCGAACTCTTTATAACATTATTTACAGAGACCCAACAGTACCACCATGAGCAAGCACTTGGCGACAAGGGCAAGGAAAAACTGCCTGTTAAAAGGCAGAAACTCCTCCTTAAAAAAACAGACAGAGAGACAGACAGAGACAGAGAGAGAGACAGACTGACAGACAGGTGCACAACAACAACAGTACTGGTAATGGCAATCTAGCAGGACCATGGCAGGAGGCTCCACCAGGATCGATAAGAACCTGCGAGACGAGAAAGCACAAGAACTCCGGGGAAGAAGTGAAGTTAGTAACATGCATTAATGGGACATGAATGAGTGCAGAAAGAGAGAGGAAGAGAGGAGCTCAGTGCATCATGGGAAATCCCCCGATAGTCTAGGCCTATAGCAGCATAACTAAGGGATGGTTCAGGACTCACCTGATCCAGCCCTAACTATAAGCTTTATCAAAGAGGAATGTCTTAAGCCTACTCTTGAATGTGGAGAGGGTGTCTGCCTCCCGAACCACAACTGGAAGCTGGTTCCACAGGAGAGGAGCTTGGTAACTGAAGGCTCTGGCTCCTGTTCTACTTTTAGAGACTATAGGAACCACAAGTAGCCCAGCATTCAGAGAACGTAATGTTCTAGTGGGGTAATAGGGTACTATGAGCTCTTTAAGATATGAAGGGGCCTGACCATGAAGAGCTTTATAGGTGAGGAGGAGGATTTTAAATTCTATTCTACATTTTACAGGGAGCCAGTGCAGAGAAGCTAGTACAGGAGAGATGTGATCTCTTTTTCTAGTTCCTGTCAGTACTCGTGCTGCAGCATTCTGAATTAATTGGAGCGTTTTAATGGACTTATTGGGGTAACCTGATAATAAAGAGTTGCAGTAATCCAGCCTTGAAGTAACAAATGCATGGATTAGTTTTTCTGCATCTGTCTGTGATAGGATGTGTCTAATTTTTCTAATATTACGTAAATGAAAGAAGGCAGTCCTAGAGGTCTGCTTTATGTGGGAGTTAAAAGACAAATCCTGATCAAAGATAACTCCAAGATTCCTGACAGTGGTGCTAGAGGCCAAGTTAATGCCATCTAGAGTAACTATATCTTTAGACAGTGAGTCTCTAAGATTTTTGGGGCCAAGTACAAGAATTTCGTTTTTTTATTTAACATCAGAAAATTGCAGCTCATGCAGGATTTTATGTCCTTAAGACAAATAAACTATTGTTATGTAAAATGTCACACAACTCTTTGGCGACTACTTTCTCCAGAATCTTAGAGAGGAAGGGGAGGTTAGAGATCGGTCTATAGTTGGCTAAAACCCCTGGGTCAAGAGTGGGCTTTTTAAGAAGGGGTTTAATTACAGCTACTTTAAAGGACTGTGGTACAGGTGACATGCTTTCACACAGTGCTGTCCCAGTTTTCTTGCAGCTTTTGGGGCCATTAAAGCTTCTTTTTCACAAAAACTTAAAGTCATCACGCATGTAACATCTTTTAAATTCCATGAGAATTCAGTGCTGAGGGACACTAGGGGTCCAGGGACTGAAAGAAAGGGAATGGAGGAAGGATGCAACCTGCAGACTGCAACCAACTGAATACAGCTCGCGTTTCAGAGGACCCGCTCCTTCTGTAGACATAAACAGCTCATTCTAAGGTAAGAAAAACACAATGATTCTTATTTCCAGGTGATTATACACTATTGAAAACATACTTATGCATAATATATTCCATTTCTGACAATAGATCCTCCAAAATGTTACACTCTAGACCTATAAAACTGACCAGGAGTGCAGCAGATTAGTGAAGCTTGAATAGTAGGTGATTTCTGCAAGACAGCAGCTCAAATGCAGCTGTGCATCAAACCACAGCTTCTGAGAATACTACAGAGCTAAAGAGATTGTCACACACTCTTAAAACATATCTAAGGTAATGATACATTGACATTTCTGCTGTTTTCTTTAGCAAACTGGCCTTCTGTGCTTGCTTGCTTTTGTTCATTGAACTTTATATTACACCACCAAAACTGTGTGGACACCTGAACATTCCCTCGATGGTTGATAGTGTAATAATGGATTCCGACACCATGGACTTTAATGTGCTTCTTACAGCCTCCACTCTGGTCTCAAGCTTACCATCAGATGTTGGAACCAGAGCATTGGTCCTCTGGTTCTGGCTTGCAGTCAGCATTCCAATTCATCCCAAAGGTGTTGGATGGGGATGCGGTCAGGACTCTGTGCTGATATAATACCTATATGCATTAATGTCTGCTGAAAAATATTATGTTTTATGTTCAATATGCTAGGAGAGGCTGTGTTTACATCTTTTTAATAAATGAAACCCACTCTGCTTCAGTATGTTACAATGCCTGGCACTATTCTGTATTCTCAATCTTACATTTTTGCAAGGAGGAGTACAAATGGGTTCCAATGTGTCAAAACATTCAAATACATCACTGATATTTTTATAATTAAAATAGTACATTGAGACTAGCCTTTATGTTCTGAATTGTTCTTTATTCTGCCCGTTTGCATTTGGGGTTCATTCTCTGTTTCCCAATGGTGGTTTAAACCTTTGCCCACTTTCTCTTCTAAATTCTCTGGGATTTTTTTTCTCATTTGATAAGGTGATCTGATAAATTGATCCCAGTTCTTTCTTATCAGTATGAACTCATATGAAAAAATCAGTTCATACTGATATGAAATGAAACTGGTTCAATCCTGTATGTGTAAATGACTAAAGGTGAAAATACACTCTACATGTTATTCTATTGAAAGCATCAATAACATGGATGTCCGTCAAGTAGAGAGTAGAGAGTAAAATTGTTGTTTTTGTGTGGGTCAGGTTATGCCAGAAAATAATTGTGTTGTTGGGGCACGTTGGGAGGTAAAAACATTCATAGCTGATCTGAACAGCCACACTCAAAGGTGGGATGAACAGCTTCCTTTTCATAGAAATGGGGCAGATAGTAATAGTTTGAATATAACTGCACACATTTTCAGACAGTCTCTCCTGGAAGACATCCATAGTGTTGCAGTCAGTTGTACACACGAAAAGTGACAGAAATAGTTTTGTAAAGAATGAAAAAAGAGTGCTTAAAGATCCCCTCTAGACATGTATACAGACATATACAAATAGTCTGATTGGAACAATAATATGTGTCTGATATGTTTTTTCTGTAAAAACTTTCCACATCCTTAAAAAGTCATCTACTCCTTCTACCTTAGTAATCTAATCACAGAATCTCTGAATATGCAAATGTTGTTCATTTCTAAAGTTTTACTGCTGGACACAAGACGTCTCCTACTTCACTGTGAAGTCCATTCTCAGTGGATGTGCACTGGTGGCCTCAACTTTCTACATCACACTGTACAAGTTGCATACTGGACCAAGGTTGACTTCCAAACTATTTATGATGTCACAAATCATTCTGATAGGCCCCGCCCCTTAAAAAATATTTTCATTCACAATGAAACTTTCCACTTTCAGCAGATGAAACATCCTTCTAGCGTCAAACTCCGCACAGTCATCATTCAAACAGCACACTGTAGGAACAAGAAGAAAGACTGAAGGGGGACTTCAAGTTTTCTTTCTTCATTCTTTACACAACTACAAAGTTGGTCTCCTGCACAATAGTCACATGCGCCATAAGCCCATCCACCACCCTGACCTCCACATCCCAACTTTCCACCTCACTACATTAAAGGCACAGTACTAAATGAATGATTGTCAGTGACATTTTAGACAGACTTATCTACTCACTAGTCTGCTCTTACAGCCTCATTGTGTTTATACTCGCACTCTTGCAAACTATTCCAACTCAAACTTTACAACCTGTAGATTTGAATAACAAGTTTGTATTACAGGTTGGAAGTTAAGTGGTGGTGACATTGAAGGCATACGACTATAGTTTGTAGTTGAGTGGTTTATTTATAGCCTTAGCATTTACGCATTTACGCTTCAAAAATCCTAAAAGTGGCTGTGATTAGATTATCTTTTTGTTGAAGAAACCAGGGTGAGGTTGGACTACAAAAATACATCATCCCTGTAGCACTGTATTTGCTGTTAGTACCAAACGGTACATTGATTTCTTGCTATTAACTGTATACCATGAAAATAAAGAACATCAGAGACATATTATGGAAACAATATATTATGAAACAGCTTCATCCTGTTGCATTGCCATGCCTCAAATGCTTGCATGGCATTAACAATTTCAAGTGACCCATTTTTTACAATGCACAGAATAGCCCAATGTGTCAATGTTTACATATTTATTTAGGCTATGTTTCAGGCCTCCGAGTTGCCTTTCTCAGTCTGTTTTCACAAACATAATGGCATTACAGAAAAATGTCACTCTTACAGCCAAGACTTCTTGGTCCGTCCCAGCCTGGCCATATTGGCCAGCTTGACCTTCACTTTGTCTCTGCTCTCTGGACTTCTCTTGGAGGTGCATTCCACAGTTGAGTCTGTCTCAAAGGAAATAGCCGGGGGATGTACAAGCAGACCTCCAGTCTTCTCTGGGGCCATGGCTGCTGGGGTCTGCAGAACCAGCTGGCCCCTCAGTGAATGCCTGAGCTGCAGCAGGAGGGGATTGTGATTTGAGTACAGTCTGATGGTGTCCCTGTCCTGACTGCAGCAGGTGGAGCAGGCTAAGCAGAGGATGCGGAAAATGTAGATCCAGCCCAGGTAGTGGAGTTCTGCAATGTTGAGCACGAAGCAACCCAGGCTGATGCTGAACATGAAGTTCAGGAAGATGGTTTTCTCAGTGGCACGTGACACAAAGCAGTCTGTACGAGTGGGGCAAGGGTAGGTCTCACAGCGGTACAGGTGAGGTACCTCAAAGCCAAACAAGAAGTACTGGCCTATTAGGAAGGTGATCTCCATGACAGATCGGAGTAACACGTGAAGGATGTAGATGAGCAGAACCTGGCTGGACTGCTGGGTGGGGTCCTCTCCTACCTCACCATAATCCTCTTCTAGAAAGCTTGGTTCTCCTCCTTCACTATCTCTTGCATCCCATTGCTCCCTGTAATGAGGACAGTAGGTCGGCATGCCAACCCTCCAGGCCTCCATGCCACCCTTCATGTGTCCAAATCTCTGTCTGGGAGGCCTCTGGTCTACCACCTGTGCCCTTTGGCCATCCAGCTTCTCATCCTTGGCAATCTTATGCAGGACGAAGACTATATAGAAGATGGATGGGGTGGAGACCAGCACAATTTGGAACACCCAGAACCGCAGATGTGAAACAGGAGCAAAGGTATCGTAACAGACGTTGTTGCAACCAGGCTGCTGGGTGTTACAGGTGAACTTGGACTGCTCATCACTGTACACAGCGTCACCCACCAAGGCCACCAGCAGGATACGGAAAATAAGCAGCATGGTAAGCCAGATCTTGCCTATCACTGTAGAGTGGTTCTGGACCTCAGACAGGAAACGACCAAGTATGGACCAGTCACCCATGGCTTAACCTTAGAGAAAAAGTCAAAGATTATGTCACTAGGGCTATTATTAATGTTAGATATGAGGTTTCTGTGTACATCAGTGGTTCTCAAACGGTTTCTTTTCCGTCTTTGGAAGAAAAAACTTTTGAAGAAAATTTTAACTCACATTGTCTAAAGGATCAGTTATTTTTTTTTAAATAACATCATATATTATGCGTCTGCTACCCAGCAAAATCATGCAGTATTTCAAATGGGTTCAGTTACCGGTTATCTCTGATCTTACTAACAATTGTTTCCATATGCTACAAGTCTATCCACCTCGTCTCGCAGGTTCTTGTCGATCCTGGTGGAGCCTCCTGCCATGGTCCTGCTAGATTGCCATTGCCAATACTGTTGTTGCTGTGCACCTGTCTGTCTGTTTGTCTCTCGCTCTCTCTCTCTCTCTCTCTCTCTCTCACCCCAACTGGTCGAGACAGACGACCACCCACCTAGAGCCGGAGGATCTGTCCTAGGTTTCTGCCTTTTAACAGGCAGTTTTTCCTTGCCCTTGTCGCCAAGTGCTTGCTCATGGTGGTACTGTTGGGTCTCTGTAATTAATGTTTTAAAGAGTTCGGTCTAGACCTGCTCTATTTGAAAAGTGTCCTGAGATAACTTCTGTTATGAAATGGCGCTATACAAATAAAATTGAATTGAATTGAATTGAATAACTGTATTGAAAAACTGAATCTGAATAGCATAATCTGAATTTGAATTTATTAGTTTGAAACTGAATTCCAATCAACTTGAAACTGAAATATAATATTATGAATCTGAATTCACTTGCAACTGAAACTGTATTTGAGCCTCACTAAAAATTCAACTTTTTATGTACTTTCAAATTCAGTTCTCTCAATTCAAATTTGGTTCTCTCAATTCAAATTCAGTTCTCTAAATTCAATTTCAGTTCTCTCAAATTAAAATTCAGTTCTCTCAATTCAAATTCAAACCACAAGATTCAACTTTTAAGGTCACAGACGTCAAGGTCGTTCAGTAATAGCAATCGAGTGCAGATGCACAGAGCTCTTTTCAGCCTCTCTCTGAAACGATCGGTTTTAGCTCCTGTCTCTTTAAGGCCCCCCCCCCAAAAAGCCCAGTCTGCTCTGATTGGTCGGCCTTATGACGCAGATGACGTTCCGGCCCCTCTCACTTCTGCCTCAGCATTGTTAGTTAGCTCCTCACTGCGTTTAGCTGCATTTCTACCGTCAATATTAATTCAATAACTGCTTCTAAACCAAAAACTTCACCAGCGGACATGTTAGAGCGGGAGTCTGACCTGAAATCACAGAGAAATGAAAAACATCAACAATCAGGATTACAGCTTTCTGTGACGTGTTCCTCAGGTAAATACTGCTATAGCTATCCCATAATGTTAGTGTTTATACCTTAACTATGAGAACCAACACTGTGTTTTATGCTTGTCTTTACAGGTACAGCAGTGAGCAGTGACCCAGTCTACAGAGCCCAGTGAAGTTAAACATATTATATATTACATATTATTAACAACATTAGTCAAGCAGTTGTTTCTAGTGAAGAAACAGCCAGTAAATGTACCAAAGTAATCAGAGTAATAGTATGATGATTACTGTAGCCTCCCATCTGTTATATTCTTTATACATTAGTTTACTGAGACCATGGAAAGTTACCATAATGAGTCAGAAACCTGCCTGGAATACTTTATCCTGTACAACATGTCAACATAACTGAAGGAATTACTCATCTAATAAAGTAACTTGTTTATGTGGTTTAAAAACTGCTAAGTAACCAACTGTACTGTATCCATACTTCATAGTCTGATATTTTAACTTAAAAGTATTATTACCAAAGTTAACCTTCAGATATTTGTAAAAGCTGCAATTATGTTTTACATTTTATTTTATATATTATGATGTAATTTATCTTCCAACATAATAAAATTTGAATGTGAGACAGTAATGTATTGTGTTGCTTACAGTCATTAATACAGGTTTAAATTCCACATTTTCATATTGATAGTTACACAAACCAGGTTTTCAACTCTTGTACATTCTACTTTTGTGTCAGTAGAAACTGAATCTGAATTGCTCAACTTGAATAATTGCATTGAAATACAGAATTTGAACTGCATAATTTGAATTTGAATTTATTAGTTTGAAACTGAATTTGAGCCTCACTAAAAATTCAACTTTTTATGTACTTATTAATTATGTATGTATTAATTAATTATTAATTCAGATCTCTAAATTCAGATTCAGATCTCTAAATTCAAATTCAGCTCTCTAAATTCAAATGTCGCAATCTCAACTCAATTTCAAACCACTAGATTACACTTTTAAGGTCACAGACGGGTCAAGGTGTTCAGTAAGAGCAATCGAGTGCAGATGCACAGAGCTCCTTTTTGGCTAAGCAGCATGTTTGTTTTGAACATTTCCTGGACCTGTAGACATTGGCTAGAGAAAAACATGCTTAAAGGAGACATATTATTCCCCTTTTCAGGTTCATAATTGTATTTTTTTTTGTTTTGTGTGTACACCACTTCGTGTGCGGGGGGGGGTCTGTGTGCTGCTGTATGTAAATGTACCGGAGGTAAAGATAGAGCTACCGTGAGAGAGAAATAGTCAAACTGTGATCAAGCCTCCTTAGAAGCTAACATTAACAAAATACTAGTAATAATACTATTAATAGGAAGTTATGGTGATTATTTTTTATGATGCTTCTAGTGTAACTTTGTACTGACGTGCTAACGTTATCTCAGCTAGCGTTAGCTTTGTTGTTCTTCTGCTTCGTGTGTGTGTGTGTGTGTGTGTGTGTGTGTGTTACGGTGTGTAAATTAACTTGATCTACGTGCTCCGGAGTTAACGACACTGTGAGAGAGAAATAGTCAAACTCACTAGAGCAACAAGGGACCCACCAGTGACACTGCTTTATTATTAGGGACCGAGCCAGCCCCCGCTGGAGGTCCCTATTGTTTTTGCTCGATTTCTTACCTATTATTATTTTTAGGCCACTTCGACTGCGTTTTTGCCCCCTGAACATATATGAAAACTCAATTTTATTTGGCAAAGTGGTCAGGCCTCGTGAAAAATTTTATATTCTATGTGTCACTTTCAGGTTGGCTGCTCGGTGGCGCCATTATCATTAGAAGTGCGTTTAGGCTAATAACTTCTGCATAGTTTGTCGCACATTCAAAAACCTTGTATCCACGCGTTCGGTGAATGGAGCTGAATCTTCCTATACAGGCCCCGCCCACTTCCGCCTATAATTTTTTTTCGTTAGAGCACGAAATGTCCATAAACTACTTTTTCGTGTTCCTCCTACACGCTATGTCCGATTCGCACAATTTTTTTTACCTAGCACCTGGGGACCGCCCTGGTAAAAAAAGTAATTTGAACATTTTTGAAATTTCAAAAAATAAGCACGCTATAAAATTCAAACTTCCTGTACATTTTTCGTCAAAAAAGGAAGTGGACCATTTCTCCACATTGGTATGTCCGATTGACACCAAACTTGGGTCCATAGTTCCACATGTCTTCCTTAGGCATCGTGCACAGTTTCAGGCCATAGCCACAAGGTGGCGCTCTTTAAAATGAAGAAGTTTATATCTCTACAACGGTATGTGTGATTAAGATGATACTTGGTACAATGCTTCCCCATGGCTCCCTGAGGCTCGCTAAAAAATGTGTCAACAATCTGGTGGCATGGTAAATCACTGTGCGGAGACCGTAATAGTTATGAATATGAAATTCACAGGGCACGTGTAGAGTGGTGCCTGAAGCCCACATACCAAAAATGGTGTTCGTCGTGTTTGTAGCGCCCCCTACAGGATAAAAAAAACTTTCATGCTTTCATGTTCTACTCCTCGCAGGATGATCAGATCCAGCTGAAATTTACTAATAAAATTCAAAACACATTGTTGATGATATGTGTTGACTGTGGTGAGGGGGCGTGTCTGTGGGGTGGCGGGAAATTTTGATGGACCGCCACAAAACACGAATTTGTTATAACTTTAGAGTACATTGTCCAATCGGCTCCACACTTCAAATGCTTGATAACAGTCCCGCCCTGAACACGTGTACATGACAATATTCAGACATAGTGATAGCGCCACCTACTGGCAATTGAAAGTAAGCGCTGCGTGGCGATTTTGAGCAGAGAATAATAACTCCTGCATCGTTTGTCTCACACTCAAAAACCTCATATCCACACGTTCGGTGAATGGAGCTGAATCTCCCTATATAGGCCACACCCACTTCCGCCTAGATTTATTTTTTCGCCAGAGCGCAAAATGTCCAAAAGCTATGTTTTTGTGTTCCACCCATGCACTTTTGTCCGATTCGCACAAAATTTTGCACGTAGCATCTGGAGACCGTCCTGGCAAAAAAAGTAATTTAAAGTATTTTGATATTTCAAAAAATAAGCACATTATAAAATTAGCACTTCCTGTTGATTTTTCGTCAAAAAAGGAAGTGAACCATTTCTCCACAATGGTATGTCCGAGGCTCACTGTAGCTAACAACGGTTAGCATGTGCTAGCAGTACACAAACAATGAAAAACAAAGCATCAATTCTTAAATAATGTTTTAAAGAGTTCGGTCTAGACCTGCTCTATTTGAAAAGTGTCCTGAGATAACTTCTGTTATGAATTGGCGCTATACAAATAAAATTGAATTGAATTGAATTATAAATACTTACAGTTACTTCCTCTGCCGTCTCTCCACAGACAGTTTGTATGAATCCCTCTTTCAGGAACAGTCTTTCAGCCAGTCCAGTGTTGTACTGACCGAGGTTGTGAAAGCAGTCCCACATGAAGTAGTTCAGACACTTCCAAAATATAAAAAAAACAAAATACAATTATGAACCTGAAAAGGGGAATAATATGTCTCCTTTAAGCATGTTTTTCTCTAGCCAATGTCTACAGGTCCAGGAAATGGTCAAAAAAAAACGTGCTGCTTAGCCAAAAAGGAGCTCTGTGCATCTGCACTCGATTGCTCTTACTGAACGACCTTGACCCG